GCGACATAGTGAATGAAATGAGTTAAACGCAAAGTCACAATAAAAACTTATTAAAAAAATTGGACATTAAAATAAATTCGGAACTGACATTTGTTTGTTAATATCGTTATTTCTAGGTATGTAACAGTAAAACGTGACAAGGAGAGGAGGGGAAAGGGAAACTATCAAAATCAAGCGACATCATTCATGAATGGCCCCCAATATAGCTACGCTTTGATACAAAGTCTATTACTTGCACTAAAAAAAGTACTCCCCGGCCAAAACTGTAAGATACTATTACGCAGAGAACCAACAAAAGAGCTCCAGGTACTTTCAATTTACCGAAACTCTTTAATACAGAGCTTAAACTTAAGGAGGAGGTCAAGTACTTGGGAGTCATACTAGACAGCAAACTTCTCTGGAATAAACACCTTGATCACAAAATTAACAAAAGCACAATTGCATTCTATCAATGCAGGAAAATGCTTGGTAATAAATGGGGTGTCTCCCCGAAAATAACTCTCTGGCTATACACATCAGTAATAAGACCAATGCTGGTATATGGGGCCTTGGTTTGGTGGACAAGGTCGAAACTTACGACCACAGTCAACAAACTAAGATCTTTCCAAAGACTTGCATGCTCCTCAGTTACTGGATGTATGAAAACAACCCCAACAATGGCAATGGAAATAGCCCTTAACATTACACCCCTTGACCTATACATACAGCAAGAAGCAGCTATAGCTGCCACAAGATTATACCATCTTGGTCTATGGGGCAAAACCATTACAGTTCTCACACAACCATCCTGAACCAAGCAATCGAATATGAACCTTTGATTGCCGCTCCGTGTGACAGAACTCAAGCATACCACTCGTTTAACAGGAAATACCAAATACAACTGAAGGAGGAGGAAAGGGACCAATCTGCAGTAAATGAACTACGCATCTACACAGATGGCTCCAAAACACAGAACGGTTCAGGAGCTGGGGCACATTCCCTTGACCTCAACATGAACATATCTATACCGCTCGGCAAACACAGTTCGATCTTTCAGTGCGAATGTGTTGCCCTGACCGAGGCAGCAAAAGCTGTATACAGGTTAGGGGTCAACAATTTCAACATTAAATTCATATCGGACAGTGCAGCCGTGCTTAAAGCACTACAGAACAGAAAATCCAACAACAAACTAATAATCGAGTGCCACATCGCCCTGGAAAAAATTGCAACGCATAACGGAGTAATTATCCAGTGGATAAAGGGGCACAGCGGATCATATGGCAATGACGCCGCGGACGAACTAGCGAGAGTAGGATCCGGTATGGTGGTTGCAGGCCCCCTCCCGCTCATGCCAATACCATTCTCGCAATTTCGCACCTGGATTCGCCAGAGATCCACCGAAATACAAAACCAAAGATGGAACCTAACCACTGATTGCAAACAATCTAAAGTGGCAATTCCAAAAACGAACCATCGGTTAACAACACGTCTACTTAATCTAGATAGACAAAACCTCAAAATAATATTGTTCCTTAAACAAACACTTATACAAAATTGATGCTACAGACAGCCCCCTCTGTCGGGGCTGCTTTGAATGAAGAAACGGCGGCTCACGTAATCCTGGAGCACGGCAGTGGCCCAACAACGAAAACAAATCCTCGGAACGGTGAGGTCGCTCCGTGAAGCCTGCGAAGACACTAGGAGTCTTCTGCGCTTTTGGGAGGAGCTTGGCTGGCTACGTTAGTAGTCTGGCTCTACACGCACAACGGCCCGAATGTGAGGCTAATTGCGGAGAATGGAGTCTAACATACCATACCATACCATATTACGCAGAGATGACAAAAACAATATGGGTAAGATTTTGCATTGATTCATTAACAAAAAAATAACCATGCCCTTTTAAATGTTTTCATAGTTAATTAATTTAGTTCCTTACAGAATATTTTTGGTTTTGGCCGAGGCAACAATAAGCTCACCATTTGTTACACCTTTCACTGTACCCATATGTTTAGTTCAATATTTAGTATGGATAGGAAGTATACAATTCATAATACACCTATAATTTGAATTTATATATTATATTATAGATAATGTTACGTATATTATATATATATGCCATTTTATGTGTTCTCAATATACCAGCAGCACGAATGAAAATAAAAAGTAAAAAAGCAAATACAATTAAAAATTTAAATAATGACCATTTACATTTAAATATATTTTTTACTAAAATTTATCTAAATAAATAACCAACCATATGGGTACATTCCGTATCCGTCTCTGAACCGTAAACACGAATGAGACAAAACATAATTAAGTATAGAATATAAATAGACAAAATTTATGTTAGTGCCCAATTTAGGCCATAGTACATTCAGATCTATATTTTTTACATTTTTTGTATTTTCACTCAAAAAAAATATAAGCATTATAAATTTTTATTTTCACTTAAAAACGTAGCGTTCGCGATAAGTCGTCAAGGCAATTCATATTGTTGCAATAAGGTTTATTATTGGGATCTATTTCATGTTGTACTAGCTTACTCGCGCAACTTCCGTCTTTTTTAGGCATTGTATTTATAATGAAAAACAAAACCTAAACAAAAGTCAGTTCTATCTGCTAGAACTTGAATAGAAATTTTAGTAATAAGATCGCTTTTTGCTTATACTATTTAGTTACGTAAAAACGGCTAACCATGTTTTTTTTCGAATTTTATTTGAGGCTTTTTAGCGTATCAAGCCAATCTGGATTGCCCACAATTCCTATCGCGAACGACATACGAGTACACATATAACTGGCTAATTTTATTACTAATTTAATTTTATAACTACAACATCTATGGTGCATAAAAGCAGCCTTCACGTGTGAGGTATACTTGAAAACCTACATTACGTTTCATTCATACAAAAATCCTTTGCATACTATTTACAGAGGAGACAATGTATATGTACTATATCTATGCCAGTCTATAAACCTATACTAGACCGTGGTTATTATAAAATAGATACATATCTACTGAGATTTTAAAATAAGCAATTCTCAAGTATTCATATTATAAAATAAATAAACAACAACTTTATGGCGTAATATCTCCTCATGTAAATTAAGTCTATGTTACTGGCAATATATATAATTCAGGTATTCTATATAAAACTTGGGTGAAGCATAAATTGACTATTATGTTAGGGTCCATTCATTACCATGCTATTAATAGTATCTGTAGCGGATGAAAGGGCTACCGCAGTTCCAGGGTTTAGTGCGCAGAGTGGAATATACTAGGGAGTTTGGTTTCGAAATAATCCCAAAGTATCCATCTTATTCAATGATTCCCCTTCTAAAACAGTATTGTATAAAATACTTGAATTACACTTATTGCCGGTAACATATCCAATAATCTCGACTTACTTCCAATTACATTCGTTTGCGGCATTTAATTTACACTTATATCTCTAGTAAATAAATTATAAAAAGCACATAAAATACCCTTAAATATTAGTAGCACTTGCAGAAAATAACTAACAATTCATATTAAAATTTACAAAACATTAAAATTATTTCAATACAACTGGACAGACTACGAATACGTAAAAATACAACTCTAAATTAATTTGTACTAACAATTTGTGTATATAATATAATAGTAGGCAATTCCATTCACAAACCGACACATTAATTTTGCAATTTTAGTAAATAATCACAAAATTAACACTACAAAATTAGTGCTGTTATAATTTGTAGTAATAATAAAAATAAATAAATATATCTCTAAATTTAAGTGTGATGTGATCGTATTGCTATTAAGGGGGTATCCGTAAATTCTGTCACATGTAGAGGAGTTAGAGGACAGGTGCTCATCAAAACAGGACATCATGTGACAAAGGGTTGGAAAGGTCGTAAATTTGATGACGTCACATTTAAAAATCTAATATAACGAAATATTAACACGCGTGATTTGAACTATTAAAGATATATTACTAGATTTATCTTCAAACATGAGGTTTAAATTATTTTATTTTTTTACTGCTCACTAGTGTATAATTGCAAAATATGTAATCACCAGTGATTGGAGTAGGTAGAGCTATTTAGGATCATTGACAACATTGATGTTAATAGGATAACCATTAAAAGACCACCTTATTTTTCTACTTAAAAAACAATTTTCAGGAGATTCGGGGAATATCCATATTCTTCTATCATGTGGCAAGTACATAAAATAGCTCTACCTACTCCAATCAGCGGTGATCTCACATTAAATAGGGTTGTCTTATGAATGTGGCCATCTGTGACAAAGACAAAGAAGGAGGAAGGGGGGGGGGGATAAAAGTAAAATAATTCGTGTGGCTTAATCTAAGGATAGCCCCTACTGTGCTGGAAATTTTCGAAGTGATTTACTTCATGAAGACAATTTTATCATACAGATGATAGAAATAAAGTTTTAACAAACAATTCGACGGCTTCTTGGAGTTGCTTTATATTCTGTAATATGAAGCAAGTCTCTCCAAAAAGTTCCAGCAGCTCTGTATAAATATTACTTCACGCTTATAGCGACTAAAGACTAATTGTTAACTAACATTATTTAATTATTACTAGTTACTCAGGCGACCCAGCATACCGTACGTTTAGTAATAAATAAAGTGCATTAATTCAAAAATTTTAAATTATGATATCGACTTAAAAGTTTTAACTTTAAAGTTGTTTTTACAAAATTTAATATTTTGAGTTAATAGCAAATTATTATTAAGTGTGTCACACTCTTATGATTAATTCCATGTAAATGTATTACCAGTAAATGCATACTTTTACGTGGTACAGAATCTTTAGACTCCAGGGCATTTACTACCCTTAATTAATGAAGAATGTTAATAGACACCGTTCAGATGCTTCATCACAGGCCTTATTATTGGAACTTTGAATTGTATATTTAGAAATATAGTGTGATTTTTGTCTTCTATTTTTCGTAGATATTTTGCTGTTTTATTATATTTTACTTTTATAATTCACTATATTTATTTACACTATATTTGAAGGTGCCATATTTTTAAACTCAAGTAGAATATACGTACCATATACACTGAGAGAGGAATCATTAAATTCAAACTATTCTGCAAAAACTTATAATGACTTTCTATCTGAACGGTGTCTATCCATGACATTGATCGATTTTATATAATTTATTTATTCATACTAAATTAGTATTCTCTCACTATCGATTAGATATATTCGTTATTTTCTCACTATCGATAACATAGTTTCCTATCACATCACCTCACTATTATTTATGAAATATTAAGCAGTGTTAATCGATGATAATATTAATATTTAAGTAAATATTAAAACTATTTTCCTTATCTCTAACTTACGAGTATTAGGGAAATTATAGCTTTATTATAATTAAATATATCTCTGCTAACACTGATGTGTTCCCTTTTAAGATAGGTTGATGTCACAGTAAGGGCGATGTAATGTAAATAAAGAAAATAACATTAGTACAATAGTCCATCGGTTTATAGCGTGTTCACCGCCAAATCTCGAGTCTGAAACAACATATATTGTGTACAGTAAATGTTTTACCTATTTGTTTTTTTAATTAGTGGTAAGGATGTCAGCCTACGTCAATGGTATAAGTTGGCGGAACACCTGTGGAGGATGATTAATTGGGCAGGAAGTCAAGTCAAGCAACCCATCGTGGCGATTTCAACACGTACTTTTCATTGCAATGAGGACATTCGTCCCCCTTTACTAATCATTTAATCTAAATAAAATGTACCAGTTTAGATTCTTGACAGTTCTTAACTGCAATAGTGATATATACGGTAATTCTAATGGTTCTCATGGTAAAATATTTTATTACATCCTTCCAGTAGTTTTGTAGCCGATTCAATGCACACACACAATCAAATCTTTCCTCTTTATATAATAGTATAGATGAATAAAAATAAGAATGCCAATACAATGCAGATCAATAAAGAAAGCAAATAAAAATACATTACTAAAAATTATTAATAATAGAAATAAAAAATGCTACAAATTAAAATATACCGCGTACTCACTTTATGTTTTCGCTAAGTGTCCGGCCCTGTACAGTACAGTGTCGGTTGTCGATGCACACCTAAACAACACATATTTTCTCTCAAGTTATTTCATACAGATGTAAACATATCTTCACACCTATTATCTAAGATGAAGTAGTCAGAGGCATTGTCAATTGCCGACGTCGTGTTGAACACAACAATTGAACGCATTTGACTTACCTACATTTCGTTAGGTATATTTGAATCCAACTGACTCATAGTCAGTTGGATTCAAATCACTCAAGTAGTCATTTAGAAATATTTATTGAAACATAGTTTTCTTGATTTGGAACTATCACCACAATTAAGACACGTAGTTCTGTAAACTCGACGCACTTATATTCAATTTAAATATTTCAAAGTTTAATTAGACCTGAATATACCCCATAATGCGGTTATATACCCTCCAATCTTACAAATATTAATTTGTGAGTATGAATGTTTGTTATTCTTTCACGCAAAAACTATTGAACGGATTTTGATGTAACATTACAGTAATATAGCTTATACATCATAATAACATATAGATTATAATTTAAAAAGGTATTATGTTAATTAGTCGAAATATAATGATAAATATCAAGTAAGTGTGAAGCAGTCGAAGTCGGGCGGGTCAGGTAGTATATGGACCGGTTATGTTTACCGTAGCGGTGCGTGTCGGCGTCGAGGGTGTGCGCGTGCACGTGGGGCGCGAGGGGGGCGAGCGGCGCCAGGGGGGGCGCGTCGGGGTCGGGAGGGGGCGCGCGCGCCAGGGGCTCGTCGCCGCCCGGCAGGCACGTCTCCACCATCGCCTCCAGGCAGTTCACGAACAGCTCGCTGCTCTCCGCCGTGCACTGATTCTGTACGCAACACTACATTTGTACGCACTGCCAGATTCACCGCTAGCTCCGTTAAGAGAATTATATTAGTCATACAATACACAAAATATCTTATATATAAAATTCTCGAGTCACAAAGTTAGTTACCATACTCCTTCGAAACGCCTTGATCGATTTTTATAAAATTATATATGCATTTTCAGTAGGTTTGAGAATAGGCTACTATCTATTTTAGTGGTATGCCCCTAAGTGATAAGGGTCGTCCACCCCTTTATTTTTTGGGACATATTTTTTTTACTTGTGGCATTTAAAATTCATATTACCCTAATTTTCGCCATTCTATCACTAACCCCTATTTATAATAGCGATTTTAATTTATATGGCTTAACAACTATTTAATAATATAATATTTCTGGTCAATTCACACAATGCCATCTAATTCCAAACTAATCAGAGCTTGTGTTATGGGCACTAGTAAGCCGCTTGACGGATTAGGCGAGACTGTGGTACTCATTCAGATGATTTGTCATAAACTCTACCTTGGTAACAAAATAAGTATTTACACTCATATTGAGATTGTAGGGGGTTATTACTGGATCTACTAAACTAATTTTGAAAACTCTCTTATTGCTGAATAGTCCATTTATCCAGGAAGGTAATAGGCCATATACCATCACGCTACGATCAAAAGAAGCAGAGGAGTAATGAAAAATGTTGCAAAAACGGAGGAAATGTGACGCAGACGAAGTTGTGCAGATCAGTTATGTTATAGTAGTAAGTATAAAGAAATAAGTATTTACCTTAGTGAAGGGTCCAGCAAACCTCCAAAGTCCCCCAAAACCACAGCTTTGCATGTAGTGAAGCTGTTGCTGGCTCGGGTCTTCAGATGCTATCATGTTCTATTATACAATTACAGAATTGAAATTATAAATAACAAATATTATTAAACATATTTACCAAAAGAGTTGCAGAATGTAAATAATGACCTTAAACCCCGCCTTAATGACCTTAATAGACCCCTACCTACCGACTTATATATACCCTATTCCCTATTTGTTACATAAAGGTATTCAGGTAGTATAAAGGTATTTTTGGTTGTATAAAGGTTTCTAAATGGTTTGCAACGCTCACCCTTCGTGCTTCAAGCATATAGAACCTACACTATTTATCATAAAATGGATATATGCTTGTTTCAGCATTGTTGTATAAAAGATATAAACAAATATGATTTCTGGTGTTTCCTTACTTTGTCACGAGTATATACAAATCTAACGAGTATAACTAATTCTTCATAATTGTGAACCGGTGCTGCTTGTTGGGACTAATTTGCTTTGCACAATATAACTGAGTTTGTCATCAGTATTTCGTATTTCCGAAAAATCAATCAGAAATACTAAATGTTACTGTTATATGTCAGATTGAACATTGACAACGGAAGCGCCTAGACTAATACAAACAATCGTACTCATGAATACAAATGTTTGCACCGTGCGTGGAATCGAAGACGCGACCATCGGAAGTAAAGCGGTGTGTAAACCGCTAGACCACCGTCAAATGAATGAAACTTTGGTATATTTATTTATATCTATTTCATACCTGTATGATACTTTGTACAGCGCTAAGTATGACCTGGTCGTGACAGTGCATTAGTACATGGTTGATCTTCATATCGAGTAGACTGTGACTGTAAGACAAAGAAAAAAATATTAGGCAGATATCATAAAATAATATAAATATAATTATTAATATCTATAAAATATGATAATTCTAAATGATGATATATCTGAATCGCTCCTATTTAAAAAAAAAAAAAAGGCGAACCTACTGTAAATTAATTTCATGCAGTCTAATATCTAGAATTTACGTGCGTTCAGTTAATAAATATTATAATTGTTTACTTACATCACTGGGAATACTTTGGCGAATACAACGGATCCCTCCGCTAAGTACTGGTACAGGATTCTTATCTCGTTTTCGTCTAAAAGATATAAGAGTACATAATTATATATACAATAATATACAAAAATAAAGTAATATGTAATGGCAGATAATTATATAATTTCCATGTTCTACATCTAATTTAAAATCAAAATAATTTATTGGTTTAGATTTAAAAGTCCAGTCCCTGAATCAATATAACAATCTATATTCGAGAGGGAGTGATTAAAATAGCGACCAATCAAATAATACTGACTGATCGAATCGAGGTCGAAATTACGACCTGAGCCACCAACCCCTGATTCCAACCCCTGGCAGTACCATAAGTCGAATACGTAAGGCTGGAGTTGGTCTTCAGCCGCTTCATAAGTCCTTCCGCGGGTTTGGAGTGCCATCTATACTCGTCCGATGAAGCTGTAAAGGCCAGCTGCGACCAACAGGATTAGTATTGCGAAAAAACTACATTCAGTCCATCGTTTCTAAGAAAATGGACTAATAATAAGTGGATAAAAATCAGTTTATTCATCTCAGATGTCTATTTTGTTACAAATTCAAATAATTAATTAACGTATCTATTAAATGTTAGGAGTAGATTCAGTAGATATATAGACTCACCAGTGGTATACTTGACAAGCGTGGCGAGCACGGTAAGCACCAAAGCTTGTGTGGTGGAGTCGGACAGCACCGACGGGTCTAGTAGACTGTTACTGTCCGGAGAGCTCGTGTCCTTGTCTGTTGACGCTTGCTGTGTAATAATGTCTTTTGAACATTGTTGGATCGGTAGAGTCTATTAGTTTTTTTGTAAGTTTTACTTATTCAAATAAAATATTCTGTTTGTTTCATTTTAATAGTCAGACGTATATTATATATTGTATTAATTGATGTCAATCATGTATTTTGCTCAGCTCTGTACGTATAACTACTGTTAGCGTGGATAGCAACGTTACCAGCGTGCCCGTTTAAAATAGATTTCAGTGACAACGCCATCTAGTTTCTAAGTGAGATAATAATCACAATATATTTTTAATTCACACTTATTATTATACTTACTTAATTATTAACATGATTTGTTGTTATGAAAGTGAAGAAAATATATAAGTAGTAAAGATTAAATCTAATCATCAATTATGATATAAAATGTATATTCTAGAAGTTTGCGATGTTGTTTACCTACCTATTGTTTTTATATACCAAGATATTTTGTGCACCCTTCAGTTCGGTTTCAACGTACCAAGTGTGAAGTACTTACATATAAATAAAAAAAGAAGTTTATACTATGCGTGTTTCGTTTGCTGCCGCCTCGTAACATTACATAAACGATATGCTACAAACCTTAGTGGACGTATCCGGGTAGTCACTGTCGCCCGACTTCGTGGAGGGCGGTCGCTCGTTTGCATCGTCCGTGCTGATTGGTGAGATCCGGCCATCATCTTCGACAATCTGATAATATCATAATATTTAATAAGTTTCTTTGATTTCTAGGTATTAATCATCATCATCACTTATTATTAATCTGCTATGTATGTAACTATTTAATTTGTTAATAAACCGTGCTTCAGTGGTTCAGTCTTTCAGTAATAAAACAGCTTCTAGACACTGCAGTCGATTACGTTACGTTACCTTCCCGTACCTACCCGTAGATATAACACTGGCGACGAGGATGGGATGGCCGTAGATATAACATACTCATTACGTGATTGTTATTAAAGTTATTACTAGATATTTTGTTATGTTTGAATAATAGCAATTTACTTATTTGTTGCTTTTGATTTATAAATATCGTGATAATAGTATATAATGAAAACACAGATTTCATTCGCCGGTTAACCGCATCTATGACTGCTTTGTCACCAATCGAAGAACAGCAACACACTATTCTGTCTCTCGACCGTATAATTTGAAGCTTCAAAGTTCTCGACGAAGTAGGTCATATACCTAAACTCTAGAGGGACGTGTACACGCACACTCCTAAAAAGATGACACATGTAGAAAGTACTTATATCCTGCTACAGTATACTTACATCCAGTCCGCTATCAGTGTCACCGGCCAACTCTGCCCTGGCTGCTTCTCCTGTAGCCCCGTGTTGCATGCTATGCGCACGACCCTCGCTATCCTGTATCATTACAATTACATTGAGGCATTCAGTATATAAATTGGTGTCATTGAAGATTTATGGGGCTAGGCGAGACCTTTTTTATATTAATATTGTTGTTCAAATTAATACAGACGCCATTTAATATACCATAAACATACTATTTATTAAATGCATACAACTAAATAATACAAATAATAAACTTTTACTATTTATATTAAAGATAATAAATATAATATAACAAAATAAAAGCCTTTTTATATGAATAATAATAACCAGATACATTTTCAATGAAAAATGAATTATTATTAGAAGATTAAAACAATAAAGATCTCGCCAGTATAATGGTTCAGTAGTGAGGGGATAAAATAGAAAATTTGGTAACGGAATCGGCATCAAGACACTTACAAGCATCTATTTATTAGCTTTTATTTTCAGTTATTTCATTTTACCGTCTAGTAACTAATATTGTAAGCGTTTTTTTGTGTGGGCGTTTGTTTGTTACTGTGTAGGTATATTGAATTCATCTATAGGCTACACACACTCGAGTGTCATAAACTGAAAATTATTCTTAGAAAATTGCATATAGTACATTACTAACTAAAAAAGTGTTAAGTGGGGTTATTGTGTAAATTTCATCTTTATTCCTCAGTGCGCAAGGCACAGTTTCATATAATTGCGTGTTCCGTGTGCATAGTGCATGTTTGCAGTGTTTCAAACAAATTTATTCGTTGGAAATTTAATATATTGTTTATACAAGCTAAAACAGTTATTATTCATTTACCAATAATGTACAAAATTAAATGTATATATTGTAAAATACTTCTTTTGATTAAATAATAACTATTTTAGCATTAAACTAAGAGGGTATATCGGTCTGTTAAACCATGCAGGTTTTAAGGGTCAACTCTATGTCCAACGGGGTTTCTAAGGATCAAACATTATCATTACTACCTATATCGATATACAGATAAAATAAATTCTACGTTGACACCATTATTATTATATAAATAAAAAAATGTTTAGTGGCTATACGCATTGTGTTAATTTAATATAGATTTTTTGTTATTCGAAATCTAAATTTATATCTTCAATAGATGTTTTATGTTTTATGCAGTTTAGCGATTTTCTATAACAAAGTACATCAGCTTTCCAATGTAAAATATGTATGTTTAAACAAATATTTCATATAGCATTTCAGTTAGTTATCTTTGGATTCGTTGGTTGCTGATCTAGGCACTGTATGTCATTAAAAATATACAAATCAAGCCAATAGCTAGATCAATTCAGAAACTGAGTAACTTTTTATTACTCAATGGTTTTATATAATTTGTTCAATTACGCTACCGTTAACATGTGCGATACCACAAATATTCAGTGCGAAATACAAACTGCTTAACGCGTGCTGCGACATAACGGTCGGGGTTTGTTCTCTAGTGGGGAAGGTTGTAACGCTTCCGGTAGTACCGCTACCGGAAGCGTTACAACCGTTCATGTTTCCACCCTGAATGTTTGTGGTCTTACACATGCTGGTAGTAGTGGAATTAAACAAAATAATACAAATATATTAAGTAGTGAAATGGACTTCCACAAAATAATCAATTTCATTCAGAAACATAGTGGAAATCAGATTTTTTCTTGAGGAATTCATACTAATGTAAATTATATACTAGAATGAATTAGTTACAGTTTGTAGTATTAGTTAGTACTAGTTACAGTTTGTATTATCACTTTAATAATATTTATATATTTCTACACTTTGCTTCATTGGGACTTTTTAGTTGTTCAATATCATTAAATATAAGACCATCAATTGTTTTGATATACCCTTCACGTATAACTCTGTACAATTCCTTTTCTTATTATTTTAAATAACAACCATCATTTCAACAATCAATAATTACCCTTGGCGGTCCGATGGTGTCTTTTGATGTAGGAACAGAAAAAGATCTTTGGGTTTTGAAAAGCATTCTAGCTGATGTCTATAATTTTAAGCAATGCATAAGCGAACGTTTCATTCAAGTTATAACCGGTATGGTTATCAACATGAACAAGTTCGTTATTTATTTACGAAATATATTCGTTGAGAAAAGTTTTTTATTTTAATAATATATAGATAGAGTGCCATATTATCAAGAATACAAACATAAGAGACAACAGTTATTCATAAACAAAAGAATACACAGTGCCAATAAAGTTTGTAAAAGTTAAAGACATTTGGAATGAAGATAAACAAATTAACAAAAAAACAACGTTAAATAACAACAACGAATATAAACGTAAACAGCAGCGGGGTGACACGAACGTTATTCAATGCATACAAACGATATCAATGAACCAAGTCCAAACAAGTTGCGTGAAAAAACACATGTGATATAGTAGAATGGTTATAATTTGTGTCCTATAGATACTGGAAGATAAGAGATTATATAGTCTTATAATTATGGCGGATGGAATTTAAATTTAGAATATTAAGAAAAATAGAATATAATACGGTTATATGAATAATGAATAAGTAAATTAAAAGAATATAACATTTGATAAAAAGTACAATATTGCAGGACTACCAAGCTTCAAAAATAATGTATTATTAAAAATTAATAAGAATAAAACTGGTCACATCTATAAAAATTTAGAAATATAATGCTCCAATTTATATTTATGAAATTTTCTCTCAAGTATATTAATTATATAAAAAGTAGCTGATCCGCGCAATTATTCATTCAATTATTCCTCATTGCATCACACTTACCCAATTTACATAATATCTTTTTCAATTATAGCCTGTGTTATTCTGATGTATAAGATATAATTAATATATATTCGAGACATCCATCCATACTCAAAAACTTTGGCCACTATAATATTAGTAATCATAAATTTATAGGTTTCAAATTCAATTCATTCAGACACAAACACACCGTGTAATACATAACATAAATAGACTAGAACCAACGGAAAGAGCCAGTAGGTAGAATAAACATGGCACGTTTAAATAATTAAATTTAATATACATGCGGCAACCACTATCTATGTATATCTGTAATTATATTATGTCCCCTGACCACTAAAAAAATATGAAATTCCACCCGCCATATACAGGATTTACGACAAATTTCCGCGACCTCGAAGCTAAATAATAAAATCTCAGTTATTTAATGTATAATGCAGATTTAGTCAAAATAATTTAATCATATAGAGCCTGCTACTTATGTACGTTATATCATCTACTTCAGTTGAGAAGAACTGGCAAAATACTCATCTGATACATTTTTATGTGTTTTTAGTTTTACTTTAATCTGTCTTCTAAAGAATGAAGTTGTTCAAACTTAATATCTTAATTATTTATAGAAGAATAAGATCATATAAGCAATGTTAATTGATTTCTTATATTAGAGAAAATACAAATTATATATTAATCGACTATACTTTACACATATTTGCCATATTGACCTGTTGTAGTAGCGCCCTTATTAGTTCATTCGTAGGACGTTTTGAGACATAACAAAAAAAATGTTTTATATTAACATTGTTTTCATGAAATTCACTATTATAACTATTTCAGAGGATAGCAGAAATTTCCCTGTAATCCTGTAGAAAAATAGTATGGAAACATATTAACTAATTACAAACTAACTATAAACGATGACAATGATCAGAAGACAGGACCATGGATGACACGATTCCTCAATCTTACAGAAGCTTATTGTAAATTTGTTGCTAAGAAGCCAATTCTTAGGTCTGCGTGGGAAAGGTAGGAAATTCATTAGATTTTTTATTAAATTTTCATTATTTTATAGCAAGGTGTTTGCCATCAAACGGCCCGTCTGATTGGGAATGGTTACTATTAACGAATAAAATATCGGGAGTAATACGTGCGATTTGCCTAATAAAACCTTATCTTCTTTAAAACCTCCATGCTGTAGTTTCTAAAGACGACCACATTATTCAAATTTAATTCACAATACAAAAGGTAACTAATAGTACATTGGGCGGATATTTTATACTATAGGGAACGGCAAAGGAGTATTTTATCTAGAATGAGAAAGGTTTAACAACTGCTGATATACAAATACCTACATTAAGATACATTCTATCTTAACTTTCGTCATTACGATAGATGAAACAAAAACTCATTATTGGTAACGCTTAACTTAATTAAATACATATAACTATCTCATGCATTGGCTCATTTTGATATACAAATACATATATTAGATGTATATTATTGCTTGCCTTCATTCGGATAAAAAATTTCCAAGAGATTAATTTGAATGCACAATTTGAAAACAAAAATGAAGATAATCTGAGTATCATACGTCATATCAATCCCACCAGATGTTTTAGCAAGATTTGAGTTTTTCACGGTTATATCGGCGAAGCCTATATCTATCTATCAGCCTAGCCATACAATTTTTTTATGTAATTGGAAACAGGTCAGTTTATTTGTTATTCCATTTACATAAAAAAAATAAATAGTTTATAAAAAAACATATCCACCGATATGTATATATAATCTTAGAGAGAATTTATACTTATTGTGGGTCTTTTCAAATTTGTGATCGTCCTAGAACTTTCCCACTGCAGACTTACAACTTAAATATCGCCATTCCTTTGCCTGGAGACAAGTGGCCAACCTTTCTATTTCTACTAGTAACGCTTTAGCATAAATATTTAGCTATTTGGATCTTATTCAATCTTAAATAATACATTAAAAACAATTAAACCATTTCGTGACACAATCAAATTTAACAAAGTTAATAAGATTAGTGAAAAAATTTCATACATAACCACTCGATAAAGCTGCCTTTTTTAAATTGTAATCAATGAGATACAGTCTGAACAAGAACTAAACATCGTTTGGCATCTCATACTTCCAGACAATTAGTTTGAGTAATCAAACGGGTACAGAAGGGTAATTAAATTCAATATTAAACTAAATTCCGTTTTTTTATGTATCACTATAATAGAGAGAGAGAGTGAGAGAGAGAGAGAGAGAGAGAGAGAGAGAGAGAGAGAGAGAGAGAGAGAGAGAGAGATAGAGAGAGAGATAGAGAAACAGAGAGCGTATTCGTAATAAGGAAAGTAAACTCTCAAACCACCGGAATTCCGGAAAGTAATTCTTTCAATATTTGAAAAGTACATTGTTCAAGACAAAATATATTATGTCAATTTATAATACACATAAAACTCACAAACTAATAAGTACTCAAGTGAAGCGATGGCGTACCATTAGTACGTTCATACAATACCGGTAAATTTAAATTACACTAAAGCGGTCGTATAGAAAGAGGAAAGTTACATAATAAATTGCATCTTGTCTAGGCCTACATGACTAAACATTGACAACTGATCACATTGCATTGGTAGATATATATTTTAAGGTATATATTTAATGTATATTTCTAACAATATATTAATAGGCGTTACCTGATGCGGCATATTGATTAGATGGGGGCTGTGACCTCCACTGTTGGATAGCTGTAGTGTAGGCGATTTACCTAAGAAAAAGTAAGGAAGGGAAAATTAGGAAACTTAATATACACATTTACATACAAGCTCCTTTTAGTTTGATTTTATATGACGTCATTTGAAATGGCAACGCAGGACTGATGTCACAGTTGTCACATGATAACGTGATGCCCGTAGTGATTTTCATGTAGAGGACGGTTACCGTTTACCATTAGATGAGCCACAAGCCAGAGCGGACTGGTAGGTTCTGATACGTCATAAGTTCCGTAGTCATCTTATTTATGCACAAGATATGGTTTGGTCAAGTACGTCCCAAGACTTCCATTTGGTATCACAAATGTCACATGCTAATGTGATGCCTACCACCATTATATGGCCCATAAGCTTGTTTGGCATTCCTATCATATATTATAAAAAAAAAAATAGTTTCCGGAGTCGAGTGATTCTGCCGTATCTTACCTCCGTGTGCAGAGGTTATGGCCGCTTGGTCGAGTACGTCCCAAGACTTTTGCCGACGACTTTGGCAAACTGAATGAGCCGATGACGGCTGGATCATTATTGATGACTGGAAATTAACATTATATACATATATATATAACTAGCTCATCCCGAAAACATTATTTTGCCATATAAATTCAAATTGCTATTTTAAAATAGAGGTTGATGGTAGAGGGATGAAAATATATATATATGAGTATGAAGGGTGAAAATATAATGTATAGTAAATATGTCTGTATTTTTTAATGCCGAATCATAAAAACAAACACGGCAACATGACAATTTCATATATTACACATACATGACACCCCTGGTGTTTCAGGCATAGGCTATGGTAACCGCGTACCATCAGATAGGCCGTACGCTTGTTTGCCATTATCATAGTTAAAAAAGTATTGAACTCTTATAAACAAACGACGTGTTGATTTGAACGGTGTGCTAACTACCTGATGATGTTCAGCAGTAGGACAGTAATGGTCACAGTTGTCGGGTAGCCACTTGGGCAGCGAGTGCTTCACGTGGCATCGCGACCGGACTTCTTCACTCACGCACACCAGAGCTGAATATAAATATCGTTTTAAATAAAGTTATACAGAAATTTAATAATAATGACAATCATAGACAATTTACACAGCGCTATCTAGTTTCAAGGTATACAGAGCCTGGGTTATGGGTACTAGACAATTTTGACTTAACATGACTTGATTTTATTTGAGCACAAAAATTACAGTTAAATATAATAATTCTAAATTTACTGGTGTGTAAGAGAAATAGATGTAATCGACAAAGAAGAAAAGACATTTTCTCCTTTCCCGTTTTTCTCCTTTGGTCTATTTCTCTCTTACACTTTATACTTCTCACTTTAGGGCACTTATAATGTCCTTGGTGTAAATAAGCGATGATTATAATTTTCAATCAGTTGGACCTGCCAGCATGTTTGGCAAAAAATAGAAAACCAATTTTAATGATAGGATATTGAAGTTGATTTTCAAATGCGTTGATATCACGAAGCCTGAGTTATGCGACGTAGTTCAAGTATCGGTGAGATAAACCAACTTTAATGTTAAGTACTTAAAGACCATTTTCGAATGCACTGATGAATTAAGAATATTAAAGTTGATTTTCAAATGTTTTGATATAACGGAGCACGAGTTAACCAACTTTAATGCTACGAATTTAAAGTCGACTTTCGAATACAGTGTGTAATTAGAGATGTATGTGGTACCGGTGAGATAAGCGACGGTGTCCCTGGAGAGCTGGAACTTGTCCCGGTGGGGAGCGGCGACGGCGAGCAGCGCGGCCAGCACGCGGCACGTGCGCGACACGGTGGCCGCCTGCGGGTGACGGTAGCCCTTGATCAGGTGCCCCACCAGCGCGAAGTGGAAGTTCGACCGGAAGCTGCGCCACGACCCAGGGACATTACCGTACTGGATTACATATCAGCTGCCTTAACTCTAACGTTACTTCTAAAAACGACTTTAAAATTTAGGTTATAAAGTCGAATTACGAAAAATTTTTAATTGGATGTTATTACATTTTATTATTAAGCATGCGAATATACAAGAGATTTTTGGAAATCGTGACTATCATAATTGGTTAGAAAATGTATATCGAGTAATATCCAGAAAGAGGTATTAGCAAAATAAAGTCATATACATCCATACTTTATTATTATATATTCAAATATATATGTTCATTTCTTACGTTTTCAAAACTAAACGGCTGCACGGATCTTAATGGCATGGACATGAATACAAATTATATAACACATGTATTTGTTTTAAGATAAAATATCATATGTATAAAACATATGTATGTTTATATATATGATATATATATACTCGTATATGCTATATTTTATCTTAAAAAGAATCTGGAAGGAGCTGAAAAGTTAACATTATTTCTCATTAATATATCTAAAAATGCATTTAAGTGTGATAATGAATATATAATAATTTGGGCAAATGAAGTCGCAGGTAACAGTTAGAAACTATAATAACAGTTTAGTGATGTGAACATTATCGATTATCGTAAATCTAAATACTTATATATTACCTTACCTCAATCCTACTGCATGATCCAACTGTTTGAAATGCCACTCCAACGGTTCCCGAGTTTCCATCATCACTTGCTCTATGGTCTGCAAATATATGTGTATATTTAAACAGTATGATATTGAGACAAAAAATAGGATTCCTATATGTAGCTAGTAATCTTACTACATTAATATTATAAACGCGAAATTTTGTGAGTATGGATGGATAGTAGAGGCTATAATTTTAAAGATATTATGTAAATTAGACGAAATATAACGACATGTAGATGAAGTTGCGTGGGTCAGCGTGGTTTGGGAGTGTCGATTGATACATGGATGTCTGTTACTCTTTCCCGCAAAAACGATGGAATGGATTTTAATGAAAGTTTACAATAATATAGCTGAACAGAATAACAAATAAGTGGCACACCCACGAGAAATTACAACTTTTGGTGAAACTGCGGGCACAACAGTACTAGACAATCATGTAGTATTACTAGTAATTTTGAAGTGTTGCTAATTAGCAATACCAATATTGTATTGTCAAGTGACACTGAACCCCACTAACCTTGTGATCAAATTGTCCCTGCGAGTCGAGTGTGTGCAGATTCTGTTCCATTAACGCAAGTCCGGCCGCATATAATGTAGGCTCATCTAACTGCAGAACTGACAATGACACCCAGAACAATGCTTTGTGGATTGGAGATTCCTGCAAATTATTTTTTCTTACTGTTATTTGACTACTAAACAAAACGAAAACAACACATTACACATTTCTTTAATATTTATGAGTTACATGAACGTCTTTATGATAACATTATAGGGATAGTTCGCAAATGTAAAACTTGATTAGAAAAAAAATGTCTACTACTGTTTAATGTATCAATAATCCGATTTTATTTTTTACAGCAATTATTTGAAAATTTTAATTATAAAACAGCAAGTAATGAACACTTAATATATATTTTTGAATGGTATCGATTTGGGGATCGTTAAAAAAAGCGCCCCTTAAAAATACCCTGCTCGCTTTTTACGGTTTCTAATATCACAAAGATTCTAAAATATATATATTATAAGAAGCTTATGGAGAATCATGTACAGTTCAATTTTTATAAAGTTATGTTCCATACGTACTGAGATAAAAAATATCTTGTTCAGGGATATGAAACTATTTGTTAAGTTGTTCTAGAGGAAGAACCACAAAAAAAATTCGTTCAATACACGCTGGTGTAGATTTCACATGCTTAACCGGGCAGATCCTATAAATCGCAAGCGCTTACCGGATGCAAAAGTGGCTGTAATCGCGTGAGACACATAATCAATGCTTCCAGAAGTGCGAGGTCGTTGAACGACTCCAATGCTTTGACCAGTATCCGCAGAAGTTGTTTCATATCATCATCTGTTACATTCTTACCTAAAAAAACAGATATTAGGTTTATTACAATGCTGACAATTAACCAACACTAATTTACATTTCTAATATTTTATGCGTTTCTTGTTAAGTATATATAGATAGTTGCTACAGAATTATATAGTATTAATAAACTAACTTATGCAGCCAAAGACGATGAGTGCCCGTGGTTGAAGTGCTGGGTTAAAGCAAAATGCAAAGCTCTTTGCCAGGGACGTCCTGTAAACAAAAAAATGTTCATAGCAACAATAGAACTTTATAGATATGAATAAATTTTTATAGATTTTCATTCCAATAAGTTAATAGAAAATTTCCTTCATTCTGCAATTTAATCAGTGAAAAAGTATAACTAACCAGGTGCAGAGCCAGTCGCACTGCGGTATGTCGCGCATGCAGGCCTCCATGATCTCCAGCAGCGCGTCGGTGATGGTCTCCAGCGACTGGAGCGGCAGGCGCTCGCGGTCGGTGTGGGTGGCGAGGGGCGCGGGCGTGGCGGGGGGCGCGGGCGCGGCGGCGGCGGCGGAGGCGGGGGGCGCCAGCGCCGCCCCCAGCCCCAGCGAGCCCACGCCGCTGCCCGACGACGACTCCGTGCACGCAGTGTACGAGTGCTCCGAGTACCTGCTGACCACTGCACTCTCTCCGTTACGGAGCACGACATTGTTATCCTTATTGCCGATTTACAATTATTCTGTAGTTTCGCAAATAACGGTGACATCTCTGAACCGATACGAGAAACTTTAGTTCGTCTTGCAGAGACGCTACACGTCACGGGCGTTCTCGAGACGAAAGAAAACTATGTTGCGTAGTAAAAATGGGCTAATGGCCGTTTTCGACCTACCATCATACCCTAAAGTATACTATTTATGCATTTACTAAAGAAACCAAACTATTGTATACATAATACAATAGTTTAGAAAATCTCTAAATAGGATACATAGCAAATAATACAAATAAGTGAATTCATTTTTATATATTCTTCTTCCGATATTTGAGAACCACTCCACTCGTATAGATGGAATATTGTTCTATTAAATTTGTTATAAAATTATATTTGCCTTTAAAGTTGGTTTTATTTCCAGTTCTACTTATATAATACTGATATATTCTCTACGTTCTCATAGTAATTTCTGACTGCACCCTAAAGATGAAATGGAGGGAAACATTTTATATCAACTCACCAATCACTCGTGTGTCGGTTGTAAACGCTTCTGAAAGCGGTCACAGCAGCCGATTTCACTTTGGAGATGCCAAACATCTGATAGAACTTGGGTAGAGCAAACTCATCTAAAGATAACATAAGCACTCGTTGCGTTTCCTCTGCAATAAATATTCAATATTGAATTAAGAAGACGTGATCAAACTTATTAAGGTGAACTTTTAAAATAAATGGGTAAACTTTTTAAATAAATGGTGGCAAAATGAGTAAATAAGTTGTAACTAAAGAGAAAATAGCGTGTCGTGATTCAGGTTCGTGAGGTTTGATAAATTGTTATCATCATCCAATGATGATTATCATTAGATGATCACCATGACTGAGTGTCTAACTAAGTGAGTGATGCAAAACGGTCGGTGATCGGAGAAGCTGAGCATGTTGTAAATGTTGATTTGAGCTTTGGAAGATGACATTATTTTAACCGTGTGAATGAATATGTGAGTGGAGACTGATCGAAAGGTCAATGTAAATGATACACAATCACAGTCACATCGAATGAATAAAAGGACACTAACTGTAAAGGCTAAGCGTGTTATAAGTGCAGGGCAGTGTTCTTCATATGTCTTGTCAGTTTCAAACATAGACACCAAAGATATGCGAGAGATTGAGGAAATGAATGGAACCCTGACAAGAAGAACCAGTCGTGATTCAAGTGCAGGTCAAGTCAATGATTTTTACAACAAGTACGAGAATGGCAGCGCATGACTGAATGAATGAGAGAGTGAATGATCGGAGACTAACCGGAGAAGCTGGGCGTGTTACAGGTGCAGAGCGAGTGTATAATGTTGATGACAAGTCCGTGTGTAGCGGCACGCATGGACACCGTGCCCGAGCACACGAGGAACGTGACCGTGTGGAACAGGTAGGGCAGGTGCCGCGCCACGTCCAGGCAGTTGTTGAATGACAGCATCAACTACAAATGTCAGTCATATGCTTACAAATTTTAAAAAAGTAAACGCCTATACAATTGGCGTAGTCGAGCTAACTGTAATTTCATAACTATACTAATATTGGAAAAATCTTACGCTTACTAATATTATAAACACGAAAGTTTGTGAGTATGAAGGGATGGATGGATATTTGTTACTCTATCACGCAAATACAACGGAACCGATACATTAGAATATAAGGCTCTGTAGGAGATCGTGTGCAACAGAGATTTCACTATTAAAACTAACTTTTTATTAGAAGTAAGTCCAGATATTTCCCTATCTATTTAGAATTTATGCAATATTCTCTACCTGTAATTTCAAGTTTCTTTATTTTCGTCGTTATTTTCATTACTTACCAAATATCTAGCCAGTATGGCTATATCGTCCCACATCATATGCTGTTCCAACATTGCTGTTGGCGAGTGACAAGTTTTATCTACCACCTGTAATACATAATATTTATAAATAATATATGAATGTTAATGAATGATAGTTATTATTAACCCCTTACAGGTATATAATATACAACGTTTTACTAACAAATTAAGATAGACCTTCACTAATCAATTTTAACCCTTATGGCGATAGTCACCTTAATAGATTAGTGCAATAAGTTCATAATAAATAACATTATTTTAATGTTGTATTCATACAATATTTTTATTTGTACAGTTATTTTATTTATAATCCCAGTGCTATTTTACTACGTTAGTAAAGTGACAAATGGTTTTATCTTTTTATGAATGATTAAAAAGTTAACATATTTACCGGAAGCATATGGTTTTATAATATCTTACATATAAGGTAAAGGAATTTGGAATTTTGGATATGTGCTGGCCAATTAGTTTGTTCCAATTAAAAATTAAAAAAAAGATCTAAAATAAAATTGGGCAAAATTATAAAATTGTGTGATGCAAAAATAAACATAAAATAAAAGCGAAAACTCACAGTGGCCGGGGTAACAGGACCCAGGATATTATTGGGCAGTTTGGATAGGGCCTGTTGGAGAACAAACACATACAATTTACCTCGCCTGTATATAGGAAATTTACTTCATTTATTCATTCGTTTTTATGTCCTAGTTGAATTTACCTTGCAATCCAATTAATTATCGTTTTTTTTAAGAAATGGAGATTTAGTACAACATTTTTTATATACATGGATATCACTGTCTAATAAAGTTATGGCCCACCTTCACTATACATAAGCAGCACCAGACAAGACAATCTATACTGTAATGTACATGATATTTCCTATTCGTTCTCATTCTTCAACGACTGATGGGCTATACCTGTGTACCTTGTAATTTTGCGGCTGTATCTACAATTTCCATGTCTAATTAGAGGCAGAGGTAATGTATACAGACAACTTTAAACTTACTTAACTATATATATTTTATCAAATTTAGTGTTATTTCGAAGACCATTTCATTAATAGATTTATATCATTTTAATCAGGCGTAGTTTGGTCACCAAACATTTAACAGTAGGCTCTCAAGCTATATCCAGTGCGTCATTCAGAGGCGAAACACGTGTCGCAATATAGATCGCGTGTAGATTCAATAACGGTTGAAATTTAATAACCAGAAAGAAGATCGTAACGATTTCAGTAACAGTCGTTAAGTTTCTGCACTGAATTATTTGTGGTCTCACGCATGTTAATGGTAGCGCAATTTAACAAAATAATATAAATCTATTAGGTGATACACAATTTTGATACATAGTCCATTCCTGCTTATTGTATTACAAGAAGTATAATCAACATAGTGTGCTTTTACTATAGTTTTGATAATATAAATGCGTATATTAATATTCACTATTGTATTCAAATGAAATCAAAAAATAATTTATTACTGTAGGACATTTTAACCGCTTATGAACGTCAAGTTCTTTGTATTTTAATTTTGTCCCTACCATCCAGTTCAGTATACATATTCAAATGACAAGAACTGGCAAGAAACTCGATTGAATTTCTTGTTTTTATTTATACAGTTATTTATTAAATTACATTGCATATCTAATTGTTTATGTCTAACAAATGAAAATTTGAAGAGTTTATTTGTCAGATGATAAGGTAGTGACTTACCCTGCACATCCGTCCTATTACTTTCTTGGAGACAAGCTGCACATTAGCAGAGGCGAGGGCCACAGCGGTATCCGCCATGATCTCAATCATGGGTGATCCCAGACCTTTGAATTAAAAATTCCAATTCATCGTCATGAATTTTCAGAACTACTCATATTATTTGGTATCGACTGAGCATGAAGCAACAGAAAAGTATTTTCGGAGGTTTAATGCAATAAAAAAAAAAACTTTATTTTCTAATTAAAAGAAATAATAATATTTATTTCACGTCAGCTTTCAATAAAAAAATAAACATGTACATCATAGTAGGCACATTTGTTTAAGAGTTAGGTTGCCATAGACAGACACGTAGACATTTCAAACTACAACATTCCTCGTTTTTAGTCGTTGATTACAAAAATGGCATACCAGAATTGACACTCCTCTGGATGAAACTGTCGAGGACCATGTCGATCAGCTCGGGCACCTGTCCTATAGAGCCCCAGATCTTGGCCTGCACTGATGGATACATCTCAGTCTCCTCTATTGTTAACGTGATGAGTTTCTCCAATATCTGCGCCACTTGCTTCTGGCGTCGAGACTCGTCTGATGGTTTGCAGAATCTGACAAGCCAAAAATGGTTAAGTAATTTGACGAGAACAAACAGTGAGTGAGTTAGTATAAAATATAAACCATAAATACACACTTATACCTATATTAATCAATAACCCTTAGTTGCACTTTATTTAATAAACCTTTTAATATTTTGAAATATTAAAAGGTTTATTTTTACCATCTTTTAACATCTTGAATATGATAAAATATCTTCAATAAACTGACTGTCAAAAAGAAACTAAAACTGTCGAAAGAATATAGATTTTTTTTTAAATGCTTACCTGACTAAATTGGCTAGCCACGGTGTCATGTACTCCAGACATAAATGTTTTAACTCTATTGTTGATCCTCTAAAGCCCTGAAAAAAAAACTTCACTATTAAAAAAAAATATATATATATATAAAATTTGATTTTAATTACGTAAAGCAGATTTATTAGTGTCCCACTATTAGGATACGCAGGATAATAGCAATTATAATTGAAATATTTTTTTATTTAATTGGTAACCAATTTGACGTCCACCTGATGGTGAGTAATAACCCTTACCATCCAATAACCCTTGCCATTCAGAAACACCAACATACCATGGCTGCATATACTGCAATTTCACGACTTATCTACCACCGAAACAGATTACGATGCAAACAACTTAGAATCTACTTAGAAAAATAAGTACGTATTATCCTTATGTACATATATGTGTGTGTGTGTACATGTAGTATATATAATAGTATGATAATAATCAAACAATTGATACCTGTATACATTCCTCAAGGAACTCTAGCGTGAGATGGGGTTCGTTGTGCGCCAGCTTCTCACTAACAGACTTGATAAATATAGTGTTGTTGGATGGTATGCATAATCCTAGAATTCAAACAAACAGTGATCCAGATTATCTGTGTTTTATTTTAGAAATTTTATATATTTAATATTATGCGATGTTTTTTTTGTGAAGCACTTTTAAGCAAAGTGTTCTCTCTTTACTTATTTTTCAGTATGCGATAGTTTAATTATTATGATTTTCAGACAGACAGAACATTAATAAGAGGATATTACACTTTCATCCCTATGGTAGTAAGTAACATGTTTTATATTACCCGCACAATCTGGAGGATATATATGTCTAGGATAACTATTGTTAACTTATACAATATACAATACATCCATACTTATTACTTATTATTTTAACAGCGAAAGTGTGCCTGCCTGTTCGTATGTTAGCGTTTGACAACTAAACTACTAAACCGGTGGATATTAATGAAAGAACACATATTGTAACAGTTAGTTATTTTATGAACTTCAACTTTTTTACAAGTGTAGAATAATAGTAACTATTTTGATTATAACATGTTTAAAAAACGTTTCACGTATGAATACTTAAGACAAGCATACTGTGTCGATATCAGAAAACGTCTAATTACTTAATTGTGTTCATGAGTAAACACCTCTATAATACTGCATTTTACGTTATTTATACTGACCCGATGTTTCCAATAACTGGCCCTCAATCTTCAAGTGGAATGTGGCAGTGAGCGCGCATAGTTGGTTGTACGCTGCCGTCCTTAGATTCGGGTCACAAGACCCCAGATTTAAAAGCGCCATATTGAGTAGCGTTCCCGGTACGTCTTTGGGTCTAATCTTCTGATGAACTGTTACCGAATCCTGCATACGATTAGAATAGTGTAATTTTACACAATTAGGATAGATGCTATTGTACATAGCATTGTTACAAAATAAATATTTTAGTTAATATTGATTAAAGAAACTAAGATAAGAAACATATTATCGTTAACGAATTTAATTTATATACCTAACAATGTATTGCAATATTATAAAATGTTAAAGAGAGCGTCATTTGTTATGAAGGAAATAAACTACGGTATAAGTGATCCAATTTAATAATTATTTCATTGTTTCTAAGGTACATTATTCCATAATATCATCATGTTAATCTTTACATTGTGTAAAACAAAGTAGCTCCAGCTGGCTGTACGCTTTGATCTTTTAAATTCGCAACGTATGTTAATGTTTTTTTTTTTTTCAGAAATAGGTAGAGTAATTGAAGAGAAAGGTTTATAATACATGTTATCCGTGCAAAGCTAGGGTGGGAAGCTAGTACACATATATACCAAACTTACAAAGTAATGAACAAATTATGATGCTGTAATACTAACCGGTTGACTGAGCTCCCATCGGTTGCGTATATGTATAATAGACTGCACTATGTTGTCGCAATCATTGTGGATGAAGCTGAGTGGGGTCGACTCGTTGATTATAGACAAAGAGAACTGATTGTCATCCACTAAGCACACCTATAGAAACATTACACAATAATTAGTTAATTCAGTAGACATATATTCCCTTATTCATAGAAAATAAAATTCCCACAAATCAATTTATTTTAGTGCAGTATTTTTTCCTTTCTTTCAAATGTAGAAAATTGTTGCTAAAACAAGGATAACATAGGCAATATGTAAAATACATTTGTGAGCTATGGAGGTTCTATTAATAAGTGGGAATAAGTATAACATGCAGTGCTGCGAAACTAATTTTACTTATAGTGGGCTTACATTATGAAGTACAGACCTGACAACCCGTGTCGACGACGCCATTCGATTGACGTATATCTAGAGAGGTATCAAATCTGAACTTGATTTATCAAGTGAGTGAACCCACTCTTATTGCTACTCAGCCGATAGCATATGAGCTATAAAAACGTCATAAGTCAGTCTAGACCTCCCATAATTTATTATGAATATTAAATGACAAACAAAATTGATTAGAGTACATTTCAATATTAATCACCTCATCAATTTCTGAAGCGTAATAAACATCATTGAGCAGCACTGGTAGGCCTAACACTTTCGTCTTCTCAACTGATGTTATTTGAAGAGCTGTAGGCCCTACCTGTAATTATTAAATATATATTTATAAAGGCAAAAATCTTATAGCAAAATTAATAAATCGACTAACAGTTCTCTATAAAATAGATAATTATTTAAAAGTATTTGGTGATTTTGAGGAGTCTTTTATCATTGCATGATTATTTTTTATTGTTAATATTTCAATAATAAAAACCTAAGAGAGCAAAATAAAGGTATAAAAAAGAAAAGAACATAAAGGAGTATTCGCCTGAAAACCCGAGGGGGGTTTTCAGGCGAAAAGTATTTGAAGTTTCTGGTTAGATTCATTAGTGTAGGAACGATCCAAAGAAGCCTTATATCACCTTTTAAACAAAGTACATTACATTAATACAATTTATAATAACCATTAGGTACCTTAATAGCAACTTTTGTATCTTTATGTGACAATTTCAACGCATTATTGAACACTTTCAAATCCTCCTCTAATGCTAGGGTTGCGCCTGGTAACTTCTGCTGTTCACTCTCCACATACTCACTGAGACGGCTGTGGTTATCTATAAATACTAGTTTGCGGTTACCCTAAAAATAAACATGTGGTAAGATTGGCATGCCATTTAAGTAGCATTAGAGAAAAAGATTGCACGACATGTAATTTGAATCTGAACTTGTTTCTTGCATATATCATATCACATTAGGTAATTATTGCTATTCGTAATACACACTTTGTTTTAGTTGCAACCCTCGTAAACGTAAATAATAATTTTTGTAAAAATTGTTTCTTTAATTAAATTACCTTAACGTTTATATCAGTTCTTATTAAGGAAATTTATTTTAACTTGTTGCCTACTGCTTACTAGATGTTGTTGTAGATGTCTAGGGTTCATAATAGAACTAATTTAACCCTTTAGAAGATCTTGGCTGAGAGAAAATGATTGATAAAATTAGGTTATGACTTAGGGAATACTAATGCGCTGACTTTCCGGAGGACTAAGATGTCATCATGCCATATCGAAACAAAGCAAGCTAATTGGGGACAGGTATAAGTGACACTGAGTTTCATGCGTTTGCATGACGTGCACGTTTGCATAATGCACGAAAATCTACCTACTGGCTAGAACTACCTACCCTCAGAGGCGCAAGAATTGCCTCATGGAATTTAGTGTACTCCCGAACCCAACTGTTGCAGTTGTAGATGTAGCACGCGTGAATATTTATATACGCCACTTCTGGTAGCACCGTGAACCATTTCTGTAGGAAGTCAGTCCTGTAGAAACAAATTTAATGTCAAATTTTAAAACTTTTTTCCATAAAAAGAAAAGATAAAAAAAGGTATGCTGGAAGATATTTTTTGACGAGTTAATATCGCCCGTATTTTTATAATAATACGTTTGTTATTTCCATTGTATATAGTATACCATAGTGAAGCATAAATTTAACATAATGGTCTATCACTATATGACGGCAAATGGTAAACGTCGCCCGTACATGCATATGGACAACAAAGACATCGCGGATGTACTTGGTACCCCATATGCGTTGCGTTTCGAAGAACTAAGGCGTTTGAATCTTTGGTAATTATATGGTCAAGTAGTCAAATCTAGAAGGTTCAGTAGACCTTGAGAATAAATCCTCGACATTCTTCTTCTCATAATATAAAACTAACCTGAACCTGTTATCAGAGTTGGTGTGCGTGAAGTCAACGATCAGCTCGAATGGTTGTTGGCAGAACGGTTTAAGCGTCAGTATGACATGGTAGATTAGCAGATCTGCATTCACTTCGCCGATTCTGAGAAAAAATATGTCTATAACAGTATGTTGCGGGTGAATAATACGATGTTGTTGGTCGAGACGATGTATATAACAGATGATAATAAACTGACAATATGTACATAAATAGGTGACTGTGTCCCATACAGTACTCACAAATAATGTAATTTTATCATATAGAATTAATTATAGTAGAAATTATAATTCATGTATTTACAATTAAACACTTTTTTTATGGTATGATTCAATTAATAATTTTGTATTATATACGTGTTTGCTTGCATATAAACTTGATTGAAAAAATGTAAAATTTTAAATAGGCATGTAACCACTTGTCCTTTGATATGGGTCAATTGTAAACTTTTTAGCTCTATTTTAATTTTGCTACTAGCTTGTAGATCTAGCCCAAGCTGGTTATAAACACTGATGTAAGTAATAACCCTGATATAAAGATATATCCGTCTGTAAAAGATTGCATTATTATTTATACTTAATATTTTTTTTTGTTGGTGTTGTACTTATATATATAAATAAAAAACATAAATTATTAACATCTGTATATAAATCATCCACTCTCATACATTATATTCTCAAATCTGTCATAACTATATCTACCTTATTTTCATATATTAACTTTAATATTATCTATCAACTCACTTATATCTTCTAGATATGAAATAGAACACTGGGTTCCCGATCTTGCTGGTGCCGGCTTGGTAGAAGATGTTCAAACTCTTGATACTCTTGAACTCTTCCTTCTCGTGCATGTTGTGTTTTACTATGAACTCCTCGAAGTTGGTTGATGACATGTCTATTGAAGACCAGCGAGCGTATGAGGAGAACAAGAGGCCTGAAGTACTGTAACAAATGTTTTTTATTCATACATCTTTACATAGTATCAAATGACGTCGCTTCCGCTCTCTGTTCGCAACAACAAACAACGCATCGGATTTTAATTTAGTTTTTAGTAATAGCTAATGATTCAAGAGAAAGTGTCTATGTTTAATACATTTACTACGAGTATATGTAATTAACTATTGTATTCCATTTTATTCTAATTTTAAAGTATTACTCAAATTATATTGTTGAATATATAATATTATATGTAATTTATCTTTATTTAAAGTAATCTATATACTCATCAATTTATATTATAGTACCACTAATATGGAAGTGTAACTTCAGTTCTAGGATTTATTAAGGTATACAACATTGAATTATACTCTTATATGAGTTTATAATTTGAAGAACTTACGATTCCACGGGTTTGTGTTCCGGTGGTCCCAGATACGCTAGCAGCGTCGCCATCTTGCAAAAATAAGATGTATACAAATGATTATATTTTTCACAGTGAATATTTTCCATGATTAGATGTGCCGAAAATTCATTTATCCTTATGCTATGAAAAAAGCAACTATATGAAAAATACCTTATCGAAAGGTCGTCGACCGACGGCTTTGTGGTCTCGACTACATGAGAGGTAGTCCCCGATTCGTTCCTGATGGTTCCAAAGGAGACGGTGCAGGGCAACCACGTTAGCGTCGCTGATGAAGGATAAGTTGTGGGAAGTCTGATCTACACTCTCGCAGTCTGACGCGATCTGGATGAAGAATCTGTAATAGATGAATTTGATTTACTCTGTTATATAATCAAATGTGGTCAAGCAATATATTTTCTTTACATTTCTATCATTATCGTCATTGAAGTGAATTAGGTTTGTACTAAAATAAAACATATGAAAAATGTTGCGTTAAAAAAAATGTTACATTACGATATTCCACGAATTAAAACAATTTTAAATTGTTTTATTGTATTTAAGAATTGTTAAAAACAGTTATTAAAAATGATATTTAAAAAAATAACATGTTATTTTCTTGTTTATATTAATATATTTTACATACTTCTCTGCTTTTCTACTTTCCCTTCCATCGTTGATACTCTTAGAGCTAGTTTTATATTTTTTGTCAGGTCACATTTTTTGTCTAATACTAGCAATTCAATACAGGTATTGATACTTTGCATTCGAACGAATTCAATAGTTAATTGTAAAACTGTAATGAAAGCTTAGTAATCAGGTTTCATATAAAAATAAATATTGAATTCTCTATTTTTGTTTATATTAAATTTAATACCAATCACAATCAAAATGGTGGCCAGAACAGCTCCTGAAGTGGAACATCAGGTTTTGGCTTTTTAAGTATTAAGTGGTCATACTCTCGAATAATAAAACACTTTAAAGGTCTGAAAATCAAATTGCTTAACAGTACCATAACTGAGATCAAGAAGAGAAGTGAAAATGTTAACCAAATCAAGCCAAAGGGTAAACCGCCGGGTCGTAAACCATCACTAACGGAACGCCAATTCAAACAACTGGAAACTATGGTTAATAACCCAAACCCTCCGACACAACAAGCGATGGCCGATATCTTGAAAGTGAAGAGACATGTTGTGAGGTATCAAATAGACAAAAAACTTAATAAAAAATTGGCCCAAAAACCGAAAGTACAAGCATTGAGTCCGGGTTCGGTGCAAAAGAGATACTGCCGTTCTTGGCCTATGTATATGAAATTGAGATGTAATCGTTGGAAAAAGTTCATCACTACTGATGAAGCATGGTTTTACCTTGCTAACCGTAATCGTCAAACACGTGTCCAGTACAAATCCAGAGGACAAACTCGCAAAGACCTAGACGTATACCAACAACAGTCACCATCAACAATGTTATGGTATGGTTGGGCATTTCGGCAAATGGCTGTACTTCTCTCAGATTTGTGACACCCGGTGCAAAGATCAATACAGACTACTACATAAAGAAGATCTTAAAGCCATTTATTCGACACGATATACCAAAGTTGTACCCAAATAAGGACTGTGTCTTCCATCAAGACTCAGCCCCAAGTCATATGTCAAAAAAGACCCAAAAGTTCCTTAAGACAAGCAGAATTACTTTCATTCCATCTCATCAATGGCTACCAAACAGTCCTGATTGTGCTCCTATGGACTACTTTTGTTGGGGATATCTGAAGAGGCGAATGAACAAGCGAAAAGTGAAGACAATATTGTCGCTTAAAAAGACTTTACGGGAAGAGGTCAAGAAAATCCCACAAATAATGATCAACCGAGCTTTAAAGGCATGGCCAAGAAGATGCCGTATGATCTACTATAATAAAGGCTTTCATATTGAAAAACATAATTAAAATTTATTTTAAAGTAATAAAGTTATTTAACTTTGAATTCGTTCGAATGCAAAGTATCAATGCCTGTAGATACAACTATTATAAATACAAAGGTTAAAATATTCAAATTATAGATATTCCATATATATCTACATAAATATGGTTATAAATATGGTATATATAACGTACTTGCGACCGGATTCGAAGTGAGCTCTCAGAAAGTCGTTGAAAGGTAGCATATGTTGTTCTTTTGAGAACTCTACGTGGTTCGCAATATTTTGTAGTATTTTCGACATCAGCATCAAACCTCGCTTCACTTGAGCCGGTACGGGACGGGACACTATGCCCATTTCTTGTGGTGATACTATTGAAACAAATATAGATATTTAAAACACGCAGACAAGATGAGTCACTTAGTAGTCATAAGCTAGAATACTGTAAAGTATTATCAAAATCCGTTCACTAATTTTTGCGTGAATAAATGAAAAAAACATCCATCTGTTCATCCATACCCACAAACTTTCGCGTTTATACATGTTTACGACGACAAGCAAATGAGAATATATGTAAATCTGAATTTGCATGTATTTATATGAGCAAAACAGCCTGATGGTGTCATACAGCATTTTCATAAAATATGCTGTATATACGACACATTCTAAAACTTTGACATTTCACCAAATCAGCGTAGTTCAGTGTCATAAATTCTAGTCGCCAGGCAGCTTGCTTTATACGCTGTGTTCCGGTAGAAAGGACACCCGGATAAGACTATGAAGTTACAAGATAGAAGGTATGTCTTAGTCATCAGGAATGGCAACGGACGATATCACACAATCATGTGATGTCCATGGTGCTATTCACATATATAGGCGACGGTTCCTACTTACCATCAGTTGAGCCGTCAGCTTGTTTGCCATGTCAATTACATAAAAAAAAACAGAAACCATGCTTTATAAATATTTCAGAACATATTTTTAAACTAGGATAATACAAAACGGTGTTGCATGAAAACCTGTTTAGACATATACACAAATCCATACTATGCGTATCTGCATGTACACGCACTCATACAGAATTCACACATATTGCGCCTGCAGCTCACCTATTGCGGGGTTGATGAACCGCAGGAAGAGGACGGTGCCAACAGCTCCCACGCTGGTCTGTGGGAACTGCGCGAACCTCTTGCTCAGCACCTGAACACCACATTATCGTTGACGTAACCATTTGAAAGAAGAGTAATATAGCGGTATTACTTGAATCATATTAATGGCCCCTATATAGGTAAATTTTACCCGTTAGTTACCTTTTTTTTCATTTATAATTTTTTAGTATTTTAATATTATATCCATATTCAGTAGGACTGAGAATCGACTACTATATATTTTTCATGAGTATCCTTAGTGGTTGTCCACCCCTAACGTTTATTTTTAGTTTTTGAACAACACTTTATTTTTTTTATAATTTGGCATCAAAAAATATATACAAGCCTAAATTTACACCTTTCTACCATCAACCCCTATTTTTTAATAGCAATTTTAATTTAAGTCAAAACAATGTTTGCGTGGTCAGCTAGTATTATATTAATTAAAAAATAGGACCATTAATAGGGGCACAAATACGGGTAACTGACTTCAAATATAAAACGACGAATAGATCATAAGAAAAGTTTTTATTATGATATACCTGCATTTTTATAAAAAGTATCTTTTTCTTTATGCGATGGTATTAAAATTTAATTCATACACATTTAATGTTATGTTCACAAAAATTAGTCTTAACTGACCTGGTAGAGACAGTGGCACATGCTGCGAAGCTGTGGGGGAAACTTGTCAGCTGAGTTGACGATCCTATCGAACACCTCCTTTGTGAGATCAATCAGATTCGACCGGTTCACCTCGATATCTTGGTTTGGGTCCAATCTGTAAATAAACAATGTCATTCACCCATCACCTGTTTCCATTTTATTTGTTTTGACACTATAGAATTAGTGTTCCATTAATCAGAACAATTAACTCGGTGGTCTAGCGGTTTAGCACACCGCTTTGCTTCCGATGGTAGCGGATGCGATTACTTCAACGGTGGAAACATTTATATTTATGAGAATGATTGTTTGTATCGGTCTGGGTGTTATATATATTATATATGTATTTAAAAAAAAAATATCTACGTGTATCGGCGTTCTGGGTGTTTTCTACGTACGTATGTAACAAAATGTGTATGTGTACTAAGTATTTATGCCGCGTAAATGTCGCGATGAACGCAAAATGTGGCATTCTCACATTTCATGGGGTATATTTGAATTCAACGTCGAAGGAGGCTAGTTTATTATGAATTTATCTATCTAGTTAGTCAGAATTATATAAACTACATATACAAAATTGACAATTTTGTATCGTGGATCAGATTTTAACTCCTGACTTATATCTAAAAAGGCATAGGCCACAACTCTCTAAATAGATATTTGTATCTATGTCATAAAATGTATGTAACCAAACCTGGCTGGATCTACTTCGAAGCTTAACTCAGGCTGCCCTTCAGCCTGGTCCAGTAAAGAGGAAATGAGCGGTTCCAGCAGTGCCTGAAGATATCCATAGCCATATATCTTGAAGCAGAACGCCATTATCTTGCTGCCCAGTGAGTTCCCACGAAATAGCGTCTGCATGCAGTCTGATACCTAGACAATCGAAAAAACATCATCATCATCATCATGACCAGTGCACAGTAGTCCTCTGCTGGACATATGTCTCTCCCAAGGCACGCCACTGGGCACGATGTTCAACCCTTCTATACTAGTTATTACCTGCAACCCTAGTATACCTATAACCTACTACATATAGTAAATAGTATGTCGTCTGGAAAGAAGATGAGTGTGATTTGGCGCGGGAGGCCAGCGCAATCGTCAGGGATTACATTTTACTATTTATTGTGGTCATTATATCGCGCGTGATTGCGAACATACTTTATGTCATTTGACTTTTTTTTTTATTCCACAGATTTTATTTTCCAAATACCTACTTAAGATTTACAAATTATCAATTCCATAGTCAGATGTTCGGCATTTTACAACGACAATTAATAATTACAAAGAGGCGCGCAGTATCCGTTCTCTTCATCATGTAGATGATATACTCACAAATAATCTGTATTATATATTATTTGTAATTAAGTTTATATGTATGTCCTAAGACACAAATAAATATTCTTTTCTATCTATCTCATTCTTTCATGCGTGAAACAGCGTATGTGCACAGGCAGCTAAAGTCTCTTTTAGTACGTATAAAATAAAGCGTGTATGCTCACCTCCACCTCGCGATAGAAGATGTTCCACAATAATGGCGCCAGCAGATGTTTGGCATCGAACAGCGTGACGAATACGCGAGCGAGCTCGTCCATCTGAGACGTGCTCACAACGTTTGCTAGTGCCATCGCAATAGGCAGCTCGCCCTGGTCAATAGTAGCTAATTTTAATAATATTATAAACGCTAAATATATTTATTAAAGTTTGTGACTATGAATGGACGCATGCATGGTTGGACGTTTGTTACTATTTCACACAAAAACTACGGCATCGATTTTGATGAAACTTTACAGTAATATACCTTATATGTCAAAATAACACATAGACTATAAATTTCAAGCATATGTAACTGCGGAGACCGCTAATTTAAAAGTACGTCCTTATACGCTTGTAGTGGACACTTGACACTTGTAAACATATACCGAAAATAAAAAAATTTCTCTAGTTTAAGTAAAATTAAAAATAATTCTTACAAATTAAATAAGACAACAACTAGAATAATTCAAATGAATATAAATGTTTGTATTGTGGGGTAATCGAAACCGCGACAATCGGAAGTAAGGTGGAGTGTTAAACCACTACTCCGCCAGTTTGCGGGTTCTACATGCATACCTACATCTTGTATGTATGTCTACGGAACCCGCAAATAATATATGGACTAGCAATTTTCTAGAATTGACTAGAAATACATTTTGTACCTACACAATAAATATAAATATTATATTTATACACACATATTATAAGAATTTTTTTTCTGTAAATGATTCTGTACATATTTTTTACCTTATCAGATATCATGGTGACCAACTGCACAAGCTGTTCAAATCGATCGGCTAGGACAGTCTCCGCTAGTGTGTCGAATTCGGTTCCCTGTTGCAGGATCTTGGTTAGAACTTCCATGAAGGCCGCGCGTGTTTGGAGGTCTCTGTGGTAGCCCAGGTCTGGGGGAAGTATGGAATTAAGTCAGTGCTATAATAATTAGGTATCAATTTAACTCACTAATTAAAAACCGAGAAATGTTTCTAATTATTTATATCAGTTATCGATACGATAACGTTGTGTGAATTGTCCAGGGATATTAAAAAAATAAGTACACGCGCTACTGCAAAGACTAGATTGTAATGGTTAAATTTTATTGCCAAATATTTGTTGATTCCTATATCCGACATCTATTTTATTAATCATACTATATATCTACAATAAAACGTAAAATAACAATTAGATTAGCTACGCTAACAAAAATGGAATTCCATTGTGGAATCACCTTCCAACTTTATTTGTGTATAAATTTTCTTGCAGGGTGGTGGACTGCCATTCATCCAAATGATCAGGATGATTAATTGATGGTATTTTAAATATTTATAGTAACGTGTAGAACTGTAGACAATTTATCAGTATCATAATTTACCAATGCTGTGCATGAGTCCGGAGTCGATGTTCGCGCTGAGTAAATTGGACATAGCCTGTATGGTCGCGTTGCGCAGCGTCTCCAGTCGTCCTGGACCCTCGGCCAGTTCCACCTCGTTGCAGTCGTTTAGCAGGTTCATAAACAGCGTGAAGTATCTGCAGACAAGGAACAATGTCGTATCCACTATTAGATATATGTGCGCCTGTTTTAACTTGATTATATATTTATAATATACAAGCCGTCCCGGCAAACGGCCAGGATAGCTACAGTATTAGTACAAACTTAAGGAATAGTTGACTCTTGGCCTCCATTAGGTCGCCCCTATCAGATTCTTCGGGCTGCAGAGGTAATCCCTTGAGAAGAGCCGCCACCGCCTCCATACAAGCTTGGTCTAGTTCTCGACAACACACCAGATACCTGCAAGAAAAAATCCATAAAAACCATATTATCACTTATATTAAACAATAGGGTTTCTTAAAATAATTAAATTATAGAATTTAAGCTTTCAAATACAATTGCTTAAATTGGTAGTCTTTGTACAATATCGTTTGGGTGGGCCCAAAGTCCACCTAATAATTAATATGATAAATAAGACTAAAGTAGGCTATACACAGCAGATATGCTATTATTCCGGATTTAATAGACTTCTATTATCCTACCTGGTGATAGAGGATGCGTCAGCTCGAAGTGGAGGTGCTATTTGGTGGCTGGTGCCTAGTACCCAGTCCGTCACATACTCTACCATCTTGTTGCGAAATTTCATTTCCTGTAATATAAATAATAATATATCTCAGGACAATTCACACACGCGCTATCTAGTCCGAAGCTAAGGAGAGCCTAGACGAAATACATATTGTTATAAATACATAAATCATATAAATAAAAAACATCTAGACTGATACAAAACAGTCATATTCATGAATACAAATGTTTGTGCCATGCAAGGAATAGAACTTATGACGGTAGCAAGTAAGGTGGTGTGCTAAACCATTATACATGTATGTAAAACCGCATTTTATATGACATGTTTCGTTTGCATTCAGTGTGGACGATTTAAATTTAACTAACTCTCACTCACGTACACTCACGTACCTGTCTAAAGGCGAGATCGTCACGCCTTCTCATCATGGCTTCAACCACCTGACACAGTTTGGTTTTTATATGCACCGACAGTACCGTCATGTCGAGGTGGCGAACGTATCTGTAATAAACATTTGTTTTTTAAATGATTAAAGTCATTGACATCTAGTTCTAAGATTGTGTTATGGGTACTAGACAACTGACATAAATACATAGAATTTTTTGTGCAAATGTTCGTACCGTGCGAGGAATCGAACCCGCGACCATAAAAAGTAAAGTGGTGTGCTAAACAGCTGACCACTGATGCCGTCAAAATCGATATATTTGCATACTCATGGTTAAAAAGCGGACTTTTGTTATTCTATGATTTTCTGCACATCAATAGGCTAGTTATTTTTAACGTAGAAAGTTTTTCATAAAGTGCAATCTCCATTTTCGATCTCTTTGTTTTCTGTTAGAAGAGGTTGGATGCAATTGTGAGATCCTCCAATAATAAAAGGATACAAATCTAGTTTATCCACCGTTCTCAAATTAACACTGTGATTGAAGCAAATTCTTTTTAATACCAATGGAAGTAGAGTACAATATTCATAAACAAGCAATGATATATCAATGCATCGCTTCCACTTCCAAAACAGTTATAGAACATACCTTACTATAGCAAGCATAAGTCCTTCTATGGATGTTGTACTCAGGTGCTCTGTGGGTTGTCCACTCTTCTTGTTATCTAATATACTCTTCATAATGAATATTGTGTGTTCCACAAACTGTGTGTTGATATCTGTTAACATTACCTGTTGACAAAGTAAACTTATAAGTAATCTCCAAAATGCGTACCTAGGTAAATATTTTTATTTTTATTGCAGGGTCTGGGCTATTTCTTGGTACTAAGAACTTGTAGCACTGCAACCTACATAGATCTATTGTGATGAATTTATTATAAATTATACAACGCAAAATGAATAAATAAATAAAATATAATACTAGCTGTCCCGGAAAACGTTATTTTGCCATATAAATTAATAACGCTATAAAATAGTGGTTTGTAATAGAAGGGTGAAAATTTAGGGTAGTATGCACAAAAAATAAAAAAAATAATGTTAGGGGTGGACAATCCTTATCACTTAGGGGTATAAAAAATAGATAGTAGCCGATTCTCAGACCTACTGAATATGCATATAAAATTTCATAAAAATCGATCAAGCCGTTTGGGAAGAGTATGGTAACTAACATTGTGACACGAGAATTTTATATATAAGATTATTATCTTACCTGCTGTTGCTGGTCGAAAAACTTATCAATTATTGCTTTGATTTGGTCAAAGAGTATCGGGTAGAGAGCAGGAGACATCTCGTGGCCAACAAGTTCTTTGACATGAGTCTGTATCTGCTGGCCGAAGCGTTCGTTGCTACACAGCAGTAACCTTAAAAGCTGGCCGATGAACCTGATGATTTATTTTAACAATTTCATAGTTTTTAGTATAGTCATGTAATGTGAAGTGATGAGGAATGGTCAAATAAGCTTGAACCCGAACGTAAAAGAGATAAAGGACGTCCTCCAGCTACCTGATGGAGCAGCATGAGTAGTCTTATCGCAATGGAAAAAATGCCCGACTTGACTATTTAGTACAGATTCCTGGTGCCGCAAAATTAAGAGAGCCGACCCCATATAATATAGAATAGTGCTAAGAAGAAGAAAAAAAAAAAGAGTGTTTATTATATAGGTTCGAACTTATTTATCTTTCTCGATTGGATCGTAAAACTGTGTAACAAAATAAATAATCTTTATTTAAAGAAAAGTTTTTTAAGTCCATCATTACCTTTTTACAATGTGATACAATTTGATTAGTTCATGATATATTCCAGTAACTCTTGATGGATTTATATTATTTTGTTTAATTCCTCTACAATTAGCAACTACAAATATTCGGTGTGGAAACTTGACTAGCGTTACGACCTTCTCAAGTTGCGAACAAATTCCGACCGTAATTTATTTTCGAACAAAATTATATTTTATTCCATATCAGTAAGGAACAATTTTATACGTAAAGCTACAAACTTAGTTATCTGTAATGAAGTATACTTACTGTGTAACAGGACAGTATTGTACTTCTTGTGAACTGTTTGCCAACACATTATATTTACGTGAATCTGTAACAAAATAATACATTGAAAAATAATTATTTATAGAAATTGTATATTAAAATATATATGTGGAAAGTCATATGCCTAATTTTAAATTGTTTCTCGAGGAGATCAACTATTTTAGTACATATATCATGTCATGCCACTTATAATACGATCTTTTGAAGATTTTTCCACACGATTAAAAGAGTTGTGGTTCAAAATTCCTTATTTAGGTAACACGAATTGGTTTGTGGTTATGAGGTTAGAGGGGAGGAGGAAGGGAGAGGTGGAGACGGGTCTCACCATGTGCGTGCAAGTGTGGCCACACGGGCGGCGGCCGCCGCTGCAAGCAAACACCGCCCAGCGCGCACAGGAACGATGTGATGTTCGCCCACTCCTGAATCTGCATCTGTACATAATCACATGCCAAATTCATCTAAAGTCCTTTAAACTAACATTTAAGGCAATAAAGGTCATCGGTAAAAGAATACTTTAAGCGATAAGGCCGTTTTTGCTTACCAGATTGATACATAGTGTACTATGTAATACACTTTCATTATTGCATCAGTAAAATATATAAAGAGAAAAAACAATACAATATAGATGGTGGTTTTGTTGCTATAGCTAGAGAGGTAATAAGTGGTCGTGATGTGTGAGGAGTCTTATATTTTTTGTAAGCCATGTGACATCTTCACTAAAACGGAATGTTTAACATTAGATACGTTTTATCGCAAAATTTGTACCGTATATTCTTGCTATCTAGTCCCACGGTAGAACTTGTGTTATGGGTACTAGACAACTGATATAAATACTTTTTTGCACAAACATACACAATATACATAGTAAACACCCAGACCGATACAAACGATTATACTCATGAACAAACGTTTCCACCGTACTAGGAATCGAACCTACAGCCTTCGGAAGTAAAGCGGTGTACTTAGCCTTTAGGCCTCCGAAGTCAAAAGGTCGCTATATACCTAATATTCTCTTATGGATGCCAAGGATTAAATGTACTGACCTCAAAGTCGTGCTCACTGCTAGTATGATGGGAGACTCTGCGCTTAGCGACTGCTCTGTGTAGCGCCTCCATCTGACATTCGTCCATTTTGTCCCCTTGTCCTTTCGGATATTTCTGCAGTAGCTTGCACAGTGAGTCCCTAAAAAAGACATATTTTGGATGAAATACTCTAAGTACCATTAATTAATACAAATATACCGAAGGAAATATGGCCATGTGAAGTTGATGAGTTATCTATATAATTTTCGTTAAGTATAATAAAACTGCACAACAATATATGCGTCCCACTCTCACAAAAATATATTACGCTACTTATACATAATTATATATGCTGCATCATGACACACCACATACACACAGATGTAGCTCTCAAAATTTAGTTATCACTCACCAACATCGGAACGTCTCTTCCCAAACAGGTTGTACGCCGTTCACACAGTGTTCAATCTTCCTTAGTAATGCCATAATACGCTTTTGTAACGCTGCCGAACCTATGAAACATAAATTTATAATATGGTCACAGATCAAAATTGACTCCATAAGTATTTCTGTTTCCATAAGCTGTGTTCCTGTTTTAAGATATGGTAATTAAATTACTGATTACAGAAGTAGTAGGGGCCACAAAGTAAGTTATACATTCATGGGGAGGGAAATTGTGTAGTAGATACCAATGACAACGAAATGCCTTTTAATTAAATAACCCCCGGCTTGAAATTGAAGATTATCTGAGGACAATTCACACGGCACTATCTAGTCACAAGTTAAGCAGTGCTTGTGTTATGGGTACTATACAACTCATAGAAATACATAGATACATTTTTTAACACACAGACTTATACAGCAACCATAGACATATAAATTTGCGCCGAAAGAGGACTCGAACCCGCGACCATCGGAAGTTAGGCGTTGTGCTAAGTTACTAGACCACCTAGGCAGTCATCAATACGTTTACTTCATCACTACTTACTGTGTATATTTTTATAAAAGCAACCTCTGCCCACATCCTGGCTGGCTGCTTGTAAATATAAAATTAATTGTAAGTTACTTTAACTACGAGTACATAAAATATAATTATAGATATCTATATTTCCCTTAGATATTACATATATAATATGTAATTTATATTTGAAGGAAACAGTTACCACTAACTAATCATTGAAGATTCATTGAAATTATTTTGACAGCCAGAAGTAACTATAGGAGAATAAGTAACAAATATAAAAACAAATAAATTTGTTGAGTCAAATAGATAACTAAGCATTATAAATTATTTAAAGTAAGTTATTAGATTAAATAGTGTTGTTGTAATAACATGATAGAATTAAAAAACTTATGTTATATAGCTATGAAAGTTATAAAAATATATTAAATATTGCAAAACAGTAGCCCATGTTCAGTTTCGCCATCGAAATTCGGTAATAACAAAGTAATTTAACTAACCAGTTGTGAGTACGGTGGATGTGTGTGCGATTTCTTGGAATACCGCGTAATTGGGCAAGAGACACTGGGTAGTGATCTCGTCGGAGCCACAGCGGATATCCGCCTCCTGGCATAGCAGCGCAAAGCACGACATAGCCACGAGAACTACGTCCGTGTCGATGGACCACAAGCACATGAAGAACACCACCTGAATTATTAAAATGCATAATGTTACTCGGTTGTTATTACAAATTATAAATTTTTAGTATTTTCTAAAATATATTATTCATTCATATCTATCATATTATGACATTCATATCTTTACATAGTATAAAACAAAGTAGCGCCACTCTCTGTTCGGTTATATCTTTTAAATTACGCAACAGATTTTAATGCAGTTTTGGGAATGGATACAGTGATTATAGAGGAAGGTTTATATGTATGATACATGAGTGTTATTTTACAGAATTGTTAATAGTACAGAACAAGTCGAGAAATTCAATAATTTGTAATGCATCCGTGTAAAGCTGAAATGAGTCGCTAGTATTATTGTTATATAAATAATTAATATCTAACGTATGTTTAAATGATTGTTGATTATAGCAATTTAGCATTTTATTTATTTAAATTATAAATTTGGGATTATAAAAACTAAATCTTATCATTTAAATATTCGATTATAGTATATATTTTATTTAATAGTAATATACATTACAATATTTGTATTTATATTTTTACGTTTATATTTTCTTGCATTTTCTTCATCATTTATTATATTTCCACCGCTTATAATTGTCGTATGGTGAATTGAAGTTAAATAAATATGAATATAGTATTGATACCTCTAGCTTGATATGGGCCTGTTTACATATTGGTATCTGCGAGCCAACATTGGCGTATTCCTTGTGCTTAGCGAGGAACTCGTTCCGACAGGTCAGTATGTCGCGTAGCCAGCGAAGCACCTCGCGGTAGTTGCAGATCTGACGCTGGATCAACTTCTGGCTGATGTTGTACAGCACCTGCGAGCTGGACCAACGGATACATCATTCGTAACCATCCGTCTTACTAATATTATATACGCGAAAGTTTCTGAGTATGGATGCATGTATATTTGTTTGTTATTAGCACAGGAGACAAACGAGCTTGCGGTTCACCTGATGGTAAGTGATTACCGCCAGCCTTAAATACCATTACGGGTAGGTGATTCCACAAAATGGTCGTGGAAAACGTGCATACGTTGTTACTCATTCACGCAAAAACAACTCAACTTATATTCTTTATAGTAATGTAAGGTAATTCGAAATAAATGTAAGATCACTCCTAGGAGAGTTCTTAACTAGAAGTTCGTGACTCCACCCTCTGTTATAACAATGACACTTCTCCCCCCCCCCCCACTCCACCTCTCCTATAAGTTTTACGTAATTTATGGCTATCCAGCACAAACTCTGTCATTTATAATGCCAATATGATTGTTGTACGACACAATATAAAAACTCACCTAATGTCCCAGAATGTGTTTAGAGGCGCTTCTGGATTCCACATATGTACTCTATCAGGCCTGTGTAACGCCAGTAATGCGTCCATCGCCTCTTGAGAGATTTCTCCCATGCCTGTCTGATGCACTAGTGATACTAGACCGTTGATGAGTTCAGTGGTTGATGATTGTATTTCTACACCAGAGCGACCGGGATTCTGTAGATTATTAGCAATGATATTTAAGTATTTTTAATTCAAATAAATACATAATGCCATGCGAGGGCAAAGTCAAGATGATAATCGTGGTGTTGTAATAAATATGTTATTTGGGTTATGAATCCTGAGATTTATATTTGCTCAAAATAATCTAAAAAAAAAGTACTTTTAGCTTAGCAAGAAGTTGGTTCCCCAATTTAGGTTCTTAATTGGTATACAGAGTATGCTAATATTTGAACCAGATAGATATGTCTGGTAATCCTGTGGCATTAAAAAAAAACTGATTAACTTTTCAGTGATGGTAAACATTATAAACTCATTAAAAACCCGTGAGATTGTGGTAGATTCGTCCATTGCTACATTTTTTTCTAGTCTAGGGAAATTAATTAGGAAATAAATTTAGAGGAACAGCAAAACAAAATCAATGACACAGACTAATCAACAGTTGTAGTTGAGAGGATGTATTCTTTTTAGATAATTTACCTTACTGGTAACATACAAGAATATGGCGCCTCTCATCTTAAATGAGTACCATACTCTATAGAGGGCAGAAATACTATGGATGTCAAGTAAAATAGAATATGAGTATTATCAGTGAACTTACACTTAACATCAGCATAGGGTCGGCATGTATCAGTTTCACCATAGACAATAAGAGATTTCTGTAGGCCGGCATCTCTTCAGATTTGTTGAACTTCGATTGAACTTCCTTTGACTTCAGTGAGAGGGATATCATTCGAAGAGGAGTATGTACTATGTAGCCCTGAAAATTATCACATTGTTTGTATTTATATATACTATGAATAGTTGTGGCGTTTAAAGAAATTTAAGATTTAATTTCGTGAAAAGGCAAAATAAAAAGAGAACATTTTTTTGTTTGTTATATTTAATTAATTCTCTCTCTCTCAGTTGATTTTTCACCAAGTCTCCGGTAATAGGAAATATTGATATCAAACGAAAATAATCAGATATGTGGCATTAAGCCAACCTGTCCTACAATGGATTAAAATTTTAGTATAGAAAATATATGGTACTATATATACCTGAGTTGCCTTGTTCAAAGTGTCCGTAAACATGGCTCTGAGTTCAGCTGCTCTTGGGTATAACAATTCGATTTGCGGCCACCATGGCAATCTAGGTTGTTTTATAATCCTAAAATATAACAATAACATGTACAGTCCCAATAGTCAATGCATCATAAAGAATGTATCTTGTAAAATTAGCCACAGTTATTATAACTATAAAGAATTAAGATATGTCTAATTTGACAATGACAGGAAGGTTCTGGAATAGTCAAATCGATCAGAGATCGAAATTAAGAAAGCCTGAGCAGACATTAGAACCCCTAGGGGTGCCCTTATACTAAAGAACTAAAATCGTATGCGTCAGGCAGGAGTTGGCCTTCAGCCGCTTTATAAGTGTTTACGCGGGTTTGGAGTGCCGGAGTGCAGAAAAAGCCGGCATTAGAATAGTTGAAAAAAAAAGGAAAAATTCGATACAGATAAATTGAAAAAATATCCTACATAGAACTGATTTTGACCCGCGACCAATTGAAGTAAAGCGGTGATAAATCGCTGTATCCCCGAGCCCGTAAAGTTTACGACTATATGAATTGTGTCAATTCGCAAGGGTTATTATTATTATTATTTATATAAATACTCACCTTAATAGCGAATTCACAATAACATAATGATAGGATATGTGCGTGTTGAGATTCAAACACACTTTGAGTGCGTCATTGTTATGTGGCATTATTCTGAACAGTGATACGAAGCAGTCTGTCATGAGGTCTAGTTCTGAATAGCCAGAGATGAGGTTACCCCGTATATACGACTTCGAAGGGTTGAACAGGAGCGACTGAAAAATAAAAAGATTATTCAAAATAATTATACATAAAACAAAACATGGCTGTATATTAAAGCCTTTGGACAATAGGGCTTGAATAAATAATAATGATTTGCTAAGTCTATAAGTGGCCAAAAGTCCTATATAATAAAATGATTGGACTTTGATATAAAAATAATTCTCGCTTATGATACATTAGTTACAACGGTCAGTAAAAAAAAATGTTATAAAAACGTTTTTCCACGTTTGAATAGGGATTTCAGTGTTATTTTCCAGCAAACTCGAACTCCGGCTGCACTATTCTTAAATAATAATATACATGGCAAAATCACCATTCCTCCAGTGTCAAAAAAACTACTACTAACCTTGAGATCGTTTATGACCGACTTGACGAGAACAAAGGTAACATTTCCCGAATCAGCAATGTTCAGATATGTGGACGCCTTACAGAGTTTCACACAAGTCACAACTGCCGCTTCTGTCATTTGTTTCGAATTATTCTGTGGACCTACATTAAAAGAATAAAAAACAATTATTTATAAATGATGTTAATTTACTTTTACTATATTTATTAATGGTTATTATTGCACTATCGCGATGTAGTTTTTTTTAATACTACATAGGTGGCAAACAAGCATACAAACCATTTGATAGTAAACGGTTACCATAGCCTATGGACTTTTGAAATACAAAGGGTGTCAAGTGCGCGTTGCAGAGCCTTAAGAAACCTTAATACACCCTTCTTGAAATACCCCATGCTGTAGTCTCGAAAAGACCTCGATAGGTATTTCATTTCAACAATCAAATTGTACGCGGGTGGAAGCTGCTCTGAAACCTCACTATCCGAGACCACATAGGTTCCAGGGTGTTGGGATGAATTCCCTGTTGATTGTGAGCAGTGCGATAGTAAAAGGTAGCCATGACTTTAAAGTAGTGAGTGATTAATGTAGATTTAATTAGAGAAATACTCACTCAGTCCTCTTTTGACTGAATCAATGAAGTGTTTTTTCTTTGTGTGTCGCGGACTACAAGGTGCACCACTGTCAGCATTCACTATTTCTTCTAGAACTTTCTGCAAATATAAGATATAATTATTGACAAAAAAAAAAGGAGAAGCAGAAGGCTTATCCTCGGACGTCTATAAACTATGGTAACTATCAGACATTTACCATCAGGTGGGTCACATGCTTGTTTGTCACCATTGTCAATAGATTATAGTGGTAATTGGAGATGCAAGATGAATAAGCAATTGTGAACAGTGGGAAGAATTATAAGTCTCTTAACATTTTTAAAATAATTTACAGCTTTTGGTCAGCTTTTTATTGCAGTTTATGACTACTATTATCAGATGAGCCACATATGGCTCATCTGTTAATAGTAGTAATGTAGTTAATGTAATGTGCTAACTACATAAGAAAATGTAGACATTTATGTATATATTATATGTTCAGTGTTATTGATTTTTATATCCATCATACTAACAGGGTTCAGAACTAGAAGCATAATCTGCAAAGGCCACATGGCGACTCGTGACTTCTTGTTGTCTGAGAAACTATCTTGCAGTATGTCGAAGAGTGTATCACAGCATTTACTCAACTCTTCATTAGGCCGACATTGCACTTCTGCAAATTCCTGTAGACCAAATATGTGTTAATTAATATGTATATATAGATAGATACATTTGTTACCATAAATAGGATGAGCACAGTAGATGTTTGTAGGTCGCAATGTTACATATGTAATTCCCTAGAAATAGAACAAAAAACTGTAATAAAAAATACCAGTTAGAGTTAAATATAAATAAAAACTAAATTCAATTAATATGCTGGTAACAGCATTTACTTCATTTATTTGTAATATAACACACAGTACACTTACAATACGCAAGTACAATATTTCAATAAATTCAAAATTTCTTACTTGGGGGTAAGTGTCCATCCAGTTCCAAATAGCTTTCTCCAGCGACGTAACTAACACAATAGGCGCCGTTTTCCTTAGTAGTTTAAATTTTTGTATGGATTCTGTAAAGAAAATCATAATTTTCATATTTACAAATTAAAGGCAATTTGACTTAGTAGATACAAATGTTCAATCAAAAGTTTGTGTACTAGATATTGGAAATACGTATAAAGGTGATATGTACCAAGTGTACACAAAATCTTACTACGAAATAATACCTCCGATAAAATCTTTGCCATCATGTGTGACCACAAACTTTGGTTCAAAAAAGAAACATCCATTTCAATGTTGACGAGACAAATACTGTTTGTATTGATTAAAAATTGTACTGTATTGTTAAATAAACAGATTCTCCTTTTATAAGTCTGTTAAAATATATAACTGTTACTATGTGGTATTACAATTTTGAATATTTCTATACAATTTCTGACCTGTAAGAAGCCGTATAAGCCTCAATATATCGACATTTATATGTTGAATGAGTTCTATATCTGTATAATCGGGGTTTTCTTCTGAGCTAGACGATAGTTCCTGTAAAGAGAGAGAGTGAAGATAAATTTTAATTTGTTAAGAAATTCTTTTAATATTAATATTCAGTGTATTTTTCTATTTGGTAATAAAAAATATAAATCAAATTTCTACATTTGTCACCTTACTGTCTCTACTGCTACCCAGTGCCGGATTTATATTTTTTATGAGAATAGGCCACTTCCCCCGCTGCCTACCCACACTTCTAAAATAATCATTTTCTCTATTCTATTCTATTCTGAAATCGAGTGACCTTCCTCCCTCTGAAATCTGCCGCCCTTAGGCCGCTGCCTATATGGCCTATTTATAAATTCACAACTGCTGCTACCATTAATATCCTATTATAAATTTATTATATTTTTACAACATATTTACAAGACATTGCCTAATAATGACTACTTTACATTTAAGTAAGCACCTATCCCTAGATAGATATATATGTAGGTCGCTGTGCTACAGGTGCTACAAACATCTGACAATAGCCCAAACAATCCAATAAAAAAAAATATCCCTAGATTATGTTATACATATAATTACTTAAGTTCCCGTAGCTAAACAAAATAATACTGAAATAGAATAGTGACATATAATTCTATAACTATGTCATGCTGTCACACATAATAATAGTGTGCTTGGTTGCGCTCACAAAAATGACAAAATTAAAATTACTATAATAATAATAATATCTTAGTACAATTCCACAGCGTCATCTAGTCCCAAGCTAAGCAGAGCTTTTGTTATGGGTACTAGACTACTGTTATAAATACATATAGATATGTACATTTTTTTAGTAAATACATACATTATATACCATAAACAAATGTAAATTACCTGTAACCTGGCACTGATTCTGTTGAAGACAGCATTGAAGAAATTGAGACTGAGAGCAAAGAGCACTTTACTAGACAACTGCCTTAGTAGTGTATTGTTCACCACACTCTCATTGCGCATGTCTGGAAGGCAAAAAGAAAAACATTGCTAATTTTTATGTGGAATGGTAAACAAGCTGACATGCCCACCTGATGGTAAGCGATAACTATATACATGAATAGCACTATGGATATCATGGTATCATAATATAACAAGAATGTGACACCCATTATAGCAATCATGTGTTGGCATTCCAGAATACTAAGATGTTATGCTTCTTATCCTGTAATTTCACTGCACAATCTAACCTTACAACCAGCTTAAAAAGCAAGCTACTTAGTGGCCAATATATATAGGTGAAACTGGGGTACCTCAGTACCTGACAGAGATGACTTTTTATGGTCTCTTTTTTATGACATAGATGACTTTTTAAGATCAATAATAGGCAAATGACAGATAGTAGTCAGAATAATAACCCACTAGTCAAAGGTACTCTTAAGGCTTCTTGTACGTACCAATAAATTGGCAGACTTCCCTCAGCAATATTTTAACATTCATCGCTTCATCATACTTTGTAGTATCCTTTGGCTGTGAACTGAGACAAATCTCAAGGGTATCTAGGACAATCACTAAGCTGTCATGATAGGTCTTCTCTGACTCGCGGTTTACTGTTGTTGATACTGTAGGTTGGTACTGAAATGTTTTTAAATTACTATTAATTTTTTTTACTTCCTTGGAGTTGGTATATATTTTTAGAGAAAGACAAGTTAGGTATTTTTAGTCTTGCTACAGGAGTAATCTTATCACAAACAAATCATCATCAAGTATACAAGTAAATCTAACAAATCTTTATAACATATGTTTACCCAGTCAAATATAAACACTGCAAAAACTTCTGAAGTTCAAAAATTTGAAGAATATGTAGGAAATTTAATGTTATTCAGTTTTACCTGCTCATTAACACGCTGTAATATTTTTGTAAGGCCTGCTATGACCAATGAGAACCTGTGTCGGCTAATTTGTACAAGGCAAGCTTTGCACTGCTCCTCATTGATTCTTGAGTGTAGATTCTGTGCTCCAGTCTTGTATGGTAGCTGCCAAAAATTAACAGATACAATAGTCAATCTCACTCTAAATTATTGCACATACATAGTAAATATAATATTTTTTAAATAGGGAATTTGAGAAACCCTAAAATAATTAAATAAAAAATAAAGAACAGCTTTGACATAGTATGTATGTATAAAGTAATATGACAAATAGATTAAAAGTAAACAAAAAATAATAAATTTATCAAAAAATTAAAAATGGTAAAAATATTTATAAGTCTTATTGAATTAAGGGTTGAAACAAGAATGTCCTAAGAGTCACAGCATAGTATAGTTACTTGTCCAGTTCTATTTCATAATTATTTATCTACAGCAAGGTTTCCTATTGTAGGTAAGCCTGGTGAAACATATCACAAATATTAATAAGGCTTCACATTGCAAACTTTATAAATATCTTCCTCTACATTCATTGATTTCTACATTTTCGATGCTGTATTGATCCAATATTTGGGAATATCAGTCTTTTTTAAATATAATAAATAAGCACTATACTAATTATTCATTTACCTTTGGGAGATAAGGGAATAATGAGGGGTACCCACCACCTCCTTTCTCTTATACCCTTTAAGTTATAAAATAATTAAATTCGTAACTTTAAGTTGAAGTAATAAAATACTTTATTAGATAATAATTGACCTTATATTCTTTAAAAAAAAGTAGGATATATGTAGATACTCAAATAAGATGGAGTGTGAGGAAGGGGAAACAGCATACTGGGTTGTTGGAACCAGTTCTTTACCGTTCTTTTCCTTAAAATATCAGCGGATATATGAAAAAATAATGTTAATGATACAGATCATTAAAAACATTTTTTAAGATTCCTTAATGAAGGTATCGTATAAGTTTTCTGTATAGAATAGAAATTAATACATAGTTAGTCATTATTATGGATTACATGAATTGATATGAATTTCTATAAATGTATAAAAAATATAAATTTGTTTACATTTTGCGACTTTGTAATACCGTAAAAGGGTGGGACGTTATAACAAAATAAATATAAGTAAGATCATACCTGTTCTTCAAATCGGGCTATGAGGGAATTTGCCCATTCACCGGGCTTCTGTGTACCCATTTTGACTTAAATAATATTATTTTAAAGGTAAATATTTTATAAACAAATATTAATACACTGTACCCTTTTTACATTTCGCTTCAAATAAAAACTACCATTTCTAAATAATAATCAATAATCTACCACTAGTGTTTTATTTAAAGTCATAAACTAAGATACTATAAAAGTAAAAAAAATAGGTTCTTAATATAAATAAATACATGTAATGGTATTTTCCAAGACTAATAAATAAAAATCAGGCGGTTACTATATAATTTTCATATTGAAGTACATTATTTAAAACCAATTAGTGGCAACACGGTAGCAGAAGTGTCAAAATAATCAATAATAATACTGCGTTCAAGAAAATTTAATTTAATTTTTATTGCAACGAATTGTAAATTATTAGACTAAATTAAGGAAGTTGGTTCAGAATTCCATAGTCTCATTAAGATTTAATTTTACGATACGCGAGAAAGTGCGTAAGAGTCAAAGATTAGAAATAGTAAGTAAGCCTAATATATACTATATTTTTAATTAATTCATAAATATATGTGATGTCGACATAGCTAAAAGCGAAGACTAGAAATAATCATTTAAATCAGGGGAAAAATAAACTGAATTGTTACAACACTAACCTAGAATTGTCAATGTCAAAATTTGGCATTGCCAAGTAATTTTGATATTTCTAATTTCATTCCGTTTCCTTATTGCTTTTGTTGTTTGATATTTGTAATACAAATTATTATTAATATTGTTAATTACATTGTTTGTAACAACAAGTAAATTGAAATAAATAAACTTAATTTACTGTTTTAATACTTTTTTCGACGTAATCAAAATGATGGTGAGTATTATCTTTTATGTAGTTCTCTAATTTAAAAAATATTACGCTCTTCCTTACGAAGGGGGCGTCTCCAAACTAACACTATCAAATAAAACACTGTTATTAAGTCTATTGTATTTTTTATCTAAAGAGAATATATGTCACCTGTTCAATTATGCCTTCTGCGTAATTTTTCAAGTTTGTTTTATCTACTTCCATAAGAAAACACTTTATGACGTGTAAGTTTTAATAACTGTTAAATAGTTAATGTATTAATCCTAATAGTTTCTCCTTTTTTCTTGCGGTTTTACTAATATACTTTATTTTGTATTTTTGATTGTTTGTACAAACTGTCCCTTAGTTTTACATATAAAAACTTTAAAATTTATAATAATAATCCATGTGGAGAAGGAATGAAGCAATAAATGATAGCATACTGATGTTAATTAATTGTAGGAGTTTTTATAAATAACATTATTATGTTTTTTTTTAATTCTGTTTTTAGGACTGTGTAGAAGACTCCAGCCATGATCCCCTTTCAGTACCACCCTCACAGTCACTATCTGTGGGTGACTCAGTGCAAGATAAAAAGAAGCCCAATGAATATAATACAAATATATCACTCCTAGATAACAGTTTGTTGGTATGTAATCATCTATACATTTATTTGACAGCCTCTGTAGTTTAGCGGTTAAGCAAACCGGTTTACCTCAGATGGTTGTGGGTTTGATTCCTTGTAGGATGTAAACATTTGTATTCATGAGTGATGATTGTTTGTATCAGTCTGTGTGTTTTCTATGTAAATTATATATATATTTATAAAAGAATATATGACTATATCAGTTGTACTAGACTACTGTTATAAATACTAAGTATTTATATGTTGTCTAGTACAATTGATATAAATACTCAGTATTTCCATAATACAAGCTTTGCTTACCATGAAACTAGATGGTGCTGTGTTAATTGTACAGGCATTTATTTTTTTATTATTTTTGAACCATATTTTAAAATGGTTTTGATGGCATTTTTTTTTATTTGTATTTTATAAAAGTTGTACTTGTGGGTACTTATAAAAATCCAATGGTTTCCTCTTAGGTTATTGTCATGTTTGCCCAATGTGAATTTATAATACACATTGTATATTTAAATTAAATATCATATTTATTATATATTATTTTAAAGTAGTTATTAGTTTAACAAATTGAAATATATTTTTCAATGTATTGTACAGTGAAATACACTTCAATTTGTTAAACTAAAGACACACTTAATATAAACAATTCTTAAGTCATTCTGATATGCTACTATAAAACATAAGTTTATAGGCACAGATAGCATAATATTGTTATCTATACTAACATATACAGGTAAGATTTGTTATTTTGTATGTTTGTAATGGAAAACTCAAAATGTGTTTGAGTCATTTGAAAACTCCTTATTCCTATAGATAGCCACATTATCAACAGGTTTTATAGGCTATATTTTGTACAAACAGCACTGTGGGGTACAACTAGTGGGTAACATAGATAAAATGTAATGATTTTATCATTAATAAAAAATTGCTGAGTATTATAGTACTAAATATACTTAGACATAAATATTAAATATGTAAAAATGTAATTCACAAAACCAAAAAATGGTTTTGCACATTTCAGAAGCATGTCATCCAACAGTCATAAAAATATATGTTTTATATAAAGGTGTAAAATATAATAAATCATTACAGGTAGACATCTCAGATGCGCTCAGTGAAAAGGAGAAGGTGAAGTTCACAGTGCACACAAAGACAACCCTACCAGAGTTTCACAAGTCTGAGTTCATTGTGGTTCGTCAACATGAAGAGTTTGTATGGCTGCATGACAGATATGAAGAGAATGAGGAGTATGCAGGATACATTGTGAGTATTACGTTTTATTCATTTCTACTGATGTAGACTTAATAGACTAGTTATTTTTAAATTTTAAAGTCCATTTGAAAATAATGATAGTGATAGCAAGCAAGAGGAAACTTTTAGGAGTCGTCAAGGGGGAAGACATGTTATATTTTGTACTTGAGAATATGTGGATAATATTCAGTCTGGTTTTTGTTAGGTGTTAAAATTTAGAGTCCTCTGACATGTACCTTAACTATATTAATAAGATTTCTTCAAAGTTGTCTGTGTAGGTATCTTTTTAATCATCTGACTTCCGTAAGATGTGTTGAAAGATAGGGTAGTGAAGGAAATCACTGCATGAATGAAGCAATGGGCGCCACATAATGACGTGATGGAGGCCATGCTATTCATGTTTATATTTGATGTTTAACGCTTACCTTCAGATGAACTGGAAGCTTGTTTGTTTTCCCAGTTACTTAAAAAAAGCATCTCAGTCTCATAGAGCAATATTGTTATTGTTCCTTGTAGATTCCACCACCACCTCCTCGACCTGACTTTGATGCGTCCCGCGAGAAACTGCAGCGTCTCGGTGAAGGGGAGGGAGCTCTCACTCGCGAGGAGTTCACCAAGATGAAAGAGGAACTTGAGGAGTTAGTGGAATTTATTTATTTATGTCTTACTATAAGAAGAGGTACACAATTCTTAGTATTCCATGAATTCACCATGCGAGAACTGGGTTTATCACTTGGCAGGGAGACAAACTTCAGAGCAGATCCCGATACCTGTGACACAGAAAAGGGCCAACAATAATTCAAATTTTGTTGATACAAAAGAAATACGCCTTACAAACCACCTCATTAATTCCAGATAGGAAGGTGCCTACCACCATCCTATCTCAAATTAGTCTCCCAATCCTCCTCCTCCTTCTCCTCCCAATTGTCCCCTGCCACATTGGGTACAAATAACCGAGCTGAATGTGGACATTTCAACTGTTGCCTTGACGTTCACAGTTAATATATCTGATGTGCATATCTATTTTCTTTGCTTAGAGATTGCTTTTAGCAATAAGACCGCCTTATATTAAATATATATGTGTTCTTTAATAGTATCTTATTTATGTCTTTTCGTTACTGCATGTTAGAAATAAAGTATATTCTATCTATCTATTTTCTTAATATGTCCATTTCATATAATTATAGTGAGTATTTGGCGACCTTCAAGAAAACCGTAGCAATGCACGAAGTGTTCCTTCAGCGATTGGCAGCTCATCCGGTCTTCCGTACCGACTCTCATTTGAGGGTGTTCCTAGAGTACGAACCCGATTTATGTGCTAAACCGCGTGGCAAAATGCAACTTATTGGTGGACTTGTACGTATTATTTTTGGTATCATTTGTGGAGAAAAATAAATATATATATTATTATTATCTGTATGATAGTAGCCATGTTTGTAATATTCTTAATATTCTTCTTTGGAATATTTGATTAAGTAACAGATTCTAAACTGTAACCAGTGTGTATGTGGGTTCATTGTTATTAATGTTTTATGTGCACCATTAATATAATTCTTGAAAACTGTTTCATATATCTTTTTTGTTGTCTATGATTTTTATAAAAACTATATATTTCAACTATAAACTATTTATTTATAGTTGAAATGGCAAACTATACTAGCGGATGATCAGCATAGTAACTGGTAACCGTCACCTATATACATGAACAGCACTACGGACCACCTTATTATATAACACCCGTTACACCACCCATTCCACAAGACTAAGATGTGCCTTATCCTGTAATTTCACTTTCTAATCTGCACCAAGGCAGGCAGGCAGGCATCCAGGCAGACGACTTTTTGCATAGTATTTCAATCGGTTTAGTGAATAAATATCCTTTTTTGCAGATGCGATCAATGACAACAACAACAGACGAGATATACTTAGGAGCCACTGTTCGTGACGTGAACGACTTCTTCGAACAGGAAACTGCTTTCTTACAAGAGTACTACTCGCACCTGAAAGAGGCAGTCGCGAAGGTTGACCGGATGACGTCCAAACATAAAGGTAAGTGTGTTTAACATCGCACATTTATTTATTTAGAAACTCTTTGTTACGCCCGATATATATTATAAGAAACATAACGGAACAAGATGAATTACCTTGACAATAGGTAGCGGTTTAACACACCGTTTTACTTCCGATGGTTGCAGGTTCGATTCTTCGCAAGGTACATTGTATTCATAATAATGTGAATGTATATTATTATTCTATGATTTCGTGTTAATTTTGAACATTTCCGCCAGGTATATTACTTATTCAATTTTAATATTTTTAGATTATTTCAAATAGGACTCAGACTATTTTTCTATACCGTAAAGAATATAACGCAATATAAGATTGTTTAAGTTTAGCATTGTATAACCCGCCAATAGAAAATAATGAATCTGTTAATTATACACTTTCAGCATCAGCACCTTATATTTATTCATTGGTTCTCACATGGTACATGATAGTTGTCATTAATCAAAAGAATATAAGGTGTGTAGCCCCAGTGTGGGACCCCATAGGGGGCATCGCAATTACATTTGTATAACTACATTACATTACAATACAATTGTTACGGACTGTATTAAGGCTGGTTAAAAATGAGACACGTTCCTAGGTGAGGTAAAATAGGTGTAATCAGCTCGCTAGCAAAAATATAAAGACAATATAGCATAAGAAAACAAACGGTATATAAAAACAGAACGTCAAAATATAAAATTCAAATATATATAAAAAACATAAAAACTATCAAAAAGGTTGCCATCGGCAACAACAATAATTGCAACTAAGTTACATTACAATAATTAGTTGAAGATCACAATGAAATATCAGTAATTTATACAATTTTAATACATGTATGAATTATATGTATATCATGTCGATTTAACGGGTTATATAAACAAGGTAATGGTCAGTGAATGACGATATGTGTATTGTCCTGAGACATTATTATGGTATTATTTATTATTATGAGTATAAATTTGATTGTGTACAACAGAAGTGGCAGATGCACATATAAAGCTATCGTCGTGCTTGACCCAGCTCGCGTCGCGAGAGCAGCCTCCCACCGAGAGATTCCTCACGCGCGCCGCAGACACTTTCGACAAATGTCGGGTGAGACACTATCTATTCTATTTCTTATATTTTCTGGCTGTGTAGTACATCGATTTATATCCGTTGGTCGTGGGTAGTAGGATAGTAATAATCTGGGTATTTTCCATATGTCTATTTTTTAATAGATGATAATGGAATGTTGTTCCATCTGGCAGGGCACCAGTGGAGGATGATAAGATGAACATGAGGTCAAATCAGTTTACCGAAACAAATGTTACAAACAAGCTTCATAGCGATTAATAAGTGCAACTGATAATGCCACGCAAACGACTGAAGTCTATGTCATGTCTATACATAGGTACATCGACTTCAGTCGTTTGCGTGGACTTTATTAGTAAACATTTATCTGCATTTTTCCATTTTAGTTGTTTAATTGTCTGTTTTATATCGATTGCAGAAAATCGAAGGTCGCATGGCAGCAGATCAGGACTTAAAGCTGGCGGACACGTTGCGTTATTACATGCGCGATGCTCACGCTGCCAAGGCTGTGCTTGTTAGAAGGCTCCGGTAAGATACCTTTTTCTGTCTCTTCTTTAAAACATTCGTCTATTTATTATAAAGGATTTTATTAAAATTCCTGAGTCGCTTTAATTTAACCTATCTTTAAAATCGGCTGTGGTTGAAAATGTTAATACACCAATCACAAGCATTGTATGATTCTGGATAAATAGATAAAATGCGTGTGTAAAATAAATATAAAATATGGATACACGAAGTAGAAGTAATGTTAGTCATATATTCTTCCAGATGTCTGGCGGCTTACGAAGCGGCTAATAGGAATCTCGAGAAAGCTAGAGCAAAGAACAAAGATGTCCATGCTGTAAGTGTCAATATTTTACATAGAAGTTACAAAAATGGCCTTTATTTAATTTGGCTGGTATTTAAATATAGGCCTAGTGGTCGTTTTCGTCTATAAGATGTACCTTGTTACATAGAAAACACAGGTAATCTAAAAAAAAACAGTCTTATTACGCGATTTGTCTGTGACCGTCGATAACTAGTATTAGGCGTAATATTAAAATAAGTGTAAGAATGAGGTAGGTAATAGTGAATAAGACGTTTGGTAGAATATATGTGTGTGAGTGAGATAGAACGAAGGATTAATGAAGATGATTGAGGAGGCGATGACGACGAAGTATGTTACGATTAAGGCGTTTTTTAGTTAGAGTAAAATATAAAAAATTGTTAGGTATTTAGAAAAATATATGTAACGCGTATTTCCTTACTTCACATATTCATTATTCACACATATTATAATAACCGTTAAAATAATTCTAATTAATTGGTTCTATAAAAAGAAACAATTTGTAATTTGAAATCTTGGGTTTTTAACCATTGTTATTCTAATAATGCAATTACTTTTATATTTAGGAAAATTAATATTCAGTACATTGATAAAATAAGATTGGGTCAACTTACGATCGGTTTCTAAAAAAACAATTCTTTAAAAACCATCTTTGGGGTTTTTTTTTATGACGTCCCGGCTTTTGTCCGGTTTTTAGACCTGTACCTAAACCTATATTTTTTTCAGTAATAAAGTATTCATTTATTTTTTTGTTTCGTGTGTACTATAATTACTGAGTCAAAACTAAATCTGAATAGTGTATAAATGATTATAAATTCGTATTTTTTTAATTGGTCATAATTTTGGGAACCGATTTAACTATATTATAATTCTTGACATATTCATGATGTTTTGGTTTTTAAAATGCTGTATTCAACGTAATATTTTTAGTTGATGGTATTTGACTCTTTTAAATTTTAGTCGATATTAATCTAGGTTTTATTAGAAATGCTACTAACTAGTACGCCCTTTATCATAATATATATAAAATCTGTTGCCGGTAAGCACGTAATCTAACTAATGTTTGTTTCTATACGTTGTAATGTTCACGAACACGATTTGGTTTTATGTCTACACCCAGCCATTGGAGGTACAAGAGGTATGCACGCTTTATCTTTGGTTTGATTGCCAGCGATTAGCGAATTTCAAAATCATATACAGGATTAGACGTAAAGAGACTATTATGCTTCTTCCAAACCGGTCGTTCAGATTTATGAACATTTTCATTGGCTTTCGTTGCATCTCTTTTACAACTCAATCTGTATATAATCTTCTTGAAATATTACCTATGATATATTTTATACTGTATTTGATTTAATAACAGCTAGTTTTTTTAATGATAATATATTACATGCGCTGGTTGTCAAATTAAGATTTTATGTAAAGCTTATTGTTAATGTGGGAAACTGGACACGAGTAATCACAATAAATGTTGTTTTAATACACCCTTTATATCATATAATAAATGCATTATTATATGTCTTAAAGCTATATAGACTACAGTAAGTACAGTTGCCACCAAAATACATATTCACGGCAAGTATTTTGTTGGAAACTTCTGTAATATTTAAGTCAGTAAGTGATGTACAAGCATATATGTTTAGGTTTCATAATATTTGTTAATGCTTAAATGTTTCAAACATGCTTCATTTATGTACATAATATTAATAAAAATATATTCTAGTAGTAACATGGGGTATTATGGATGATGCTGTTTACTTTTGTTAGCGACTGTTATTGCTTTTTTTACGTAACTGTAATCAAGCTGGCGGCCCACCCTTTGGTAAGTGGTAACTGTCATCCACACACAGGAACGGTAGCACTTTCCATCAATACGTAGTAAACCAAGTCAAGTCGTATAAAAATAATCGTATATTTTTTTGCGGCAGGCTGAACAAGCGCAAGCCGAAGCGTGCGCTCGATTCGAGCAGCTATCCGCCCGCGCTCGTGAGGAACTCATTGATTTCCGCACACGTCGCGTTGCCGCTTTCCGCAAAAGGTGAGACACAATCTTTACTTTATTATAGTTACTACTAGCTGACTCGCCCAACTTCGTCTGTATTCTGATGTATAAGATATAGTTTCATCAATCCGTTCAGTAGGTTTTGCGTGAAAAAGTAACAAACATCCATTCATACTCAAACTTTCGCGTTTCTAATATTAGTAAGATTGAACAACTCACTTGGAATTTCCCTGCTGTTGCGGGCTGTCATGGAAGGCAGTAATCATTCGCTAGTTTTAAAAATAATACTGTGTTTTTCTAGTTGTAAAAGATTAAGAACCAAGTTTCTTTTTAGTTGTTCGCAGATAGAAACTGACGGTAGATTAGACACATCATTCTGTAATAGCCTTACATAAAAAAAGATATTTTGATTTAATTTGATCTAATCTTAATAAATACTCACAATAGGCTCATTTGCCCCCTGTATTCTAAAAAAAAAAAAGATTAAAACATGTGTTGATTAATGTAATTTGTTTACAGTTTAATCGACTTGGCGGAACTAGAGATCAAACATGCGCGATCACAGCAGGAACTGTTTCGGAAGTCGCTACAGATCCTAAAGGAAAGCGTGTGAGTTAGTAATACAGATGTAGGATTAAACCATCAAAGGGGAATTTAGTAATGTAGTTGTCGATGGCAATGGGTGAATATTGATTAACAATGATTGATACAACCATTGGCTATTTTAAATGATAAATATAATACAGGATTAGTCGTAAAGGTTATAACAAAACGCAAGGTCAGTGATAATATTTATAATATTAAACGATTGTATCAAAGTGGCGACAGTGGAATTAAAATAATGTTATAAACTTATACAAAATATGCACAGTTACATGATCAATTTAATATGCAAAATTATAAATTTATTTTATAATTACCACTTTGATTCTTATTAAAGTTTTTCAATTTTATAAATATTCTACATGATTTCTAGTTTGGTGTTTCCTGTACGCTTAACCCTGTATGACGTTATTCCATTCTATGTAAGCAAGAGATTAATCATTAAGAAGTATTATTTCATCTATCCCTTAAATATAGAGGATCTGTTCTTTTATAACAATAATTTGTATGAGAAAGTAAGATTGCATAGGGTTCCTTAGTCTAAAGGAAAAAGGAAGGAAGTTTGTCAAAAAGCTAACCACGGAAAAAGTGGATATGCTCTATTATAACAGTAATTTGTATGAGAAAAGTGTTTAGTTCTGTAGTCTAAAGGAGAAAGGAAGGATGTTAGTCAAAAAGGAACTCACAATCTTTCCATGGTAATTTTATTAAAACATCAATAAAATGTCTCGAGTTTTATACAAATCTAATTGCTTGTTGCTTTAAAAAAAATCGTTTGTAGATTTAGAATTTTTTATGAATAACCATCCATTTAGTTGTGATAAATGTTACTAAATTGAATTGAATAATTCATCCCTCCATCATTTTAATCCGACAAGAACAAATAAATAAATACAAGGATTAAAAATCGGGAGCCGATTATTCATACTTTACTTATAACATGAACTCCCAAATATAAAACATTTGAATTCATACTATCACAAACCTATTTGAGTTTATTACAATTGTTGCAACTTGGAAAAATATAACCCAAATCTTAATAAAAAAAATTACGAACATTATATTGGACGTATCTACGTTTAATAATAAAAGGATGGTACTCGTTAGTAAACGATTTCTTAATACATACATCCTCACATTATAATCGTTTTAGGTGTAGCGCAGATGTATTTATTCTTGAAATGAATGAGACTTTCAATTCAGTAGATGACCCTACTGAATTATTTTAGCCATTTGCGATGTAAATATTAACTTCTTTACTCATACCAGTTAAAATTTCTTTCAAATCAAATATTATTGTTTTCCATTCTGTATCATAAAAACATATTGCAGTGTTTTTTGTGATTATTTTTTCAAATAATATCAAAGATAAAAGAAGAAGGATTAAAGATGGGGTATATTTACAATTTTACTGGCATCTTTTAAAAAAATAATCATGCTGTAATATTCCTCGTTGCACTAGAAAATTGGTGATGTCGACCGTTTTCTACGTTAGAAAGATTGTCGAGTTTGTAGTAAGCAGTCATAGCTAAGTCACTCTTTATGCCTTCATATATATGGGTGTATGTAAGCCGATATAATTGTAGATAACGATCCTTACAAACGAGATAAGCTACTAATAAATCCACAAAAGTCCCTATTACATTATAAGTGTACTAATGTTTATTGTAATGTTTAATGGAATTGACGCAAATTACCACAAAATAAAAAATAAATGTTTTAATACTTTTTTATCTACACTAATATTATTACGTTGTCTGCAAGATATTGTTTGTAGTGATAAAACGACCTTGCATAATGCAATTGTATTAACTACTTATTTATTGTTGTAGTATTTTTTGTGCAATAATTACTATCTAGAAATGTTATATAAAAACGTTTGTACTGAATGATTTAAAAGTGTGTGGAACTTCTATCTATTAAGGGTTAAAATTTTCAAAAATAAAAGGATAATATTTCATACACAATCTGTAAGTAATCTCCTGACTGACGCATTCAACTATCATGTTAACGAATAGGCGCCGTAACTTTGTATGAAAAGTATAAGCCAAATTTATCAGGTATTTTAGGTCTATATTCGAAGGCATATTAAAAATATTGTTGCGATTGAGTTGCTTAACTGCTTTTATACAAATTTCTTTGAAGTATTGTTACAACGTCTTATATAAACAAATTTCTTTAAGAGATATTGTATTAAAAAGTAGCCAGGTAATGTTTTAAAATGTAGCCAATTTGGCTAACGTACGATGAGATTGGATATAGTTTAAAATTGTGTATTTCATTTTAAAACTTTTCATAATTATTTACAATGGTAGATATTATAACGCATTAGATATACCATATGGGAATGGAGTTTATCTGTGACCAGGGTGCTTGAATCAGATTCAAAATATCGGGTGCTCACATCACAGTAAATCTTCATTGCATAGCCTTTATCCCATTATTTGGGATCTGCGCAGTATATTATCTTCTATTGATTCTTATTGGAACCTACTCTTCGTTTATGCATATTATCTTTCACACAATCTATCCATCGGTTTCAGGGTCGTCCTCTCCCTAAATTTGTAACAGACTGCTGCTTTTAGCCTTTTTATATTCCACTATTTTTTCTTGGGCATTACGCATTCTGATGACAGGTATATTAACTGTTTTTCTTTGAGGATACTAGATATATATTCCTTAAGGCTGCACACCAAATGCCCATCATGAAACCTTCGGCTGATTAGTGGTGTATCCGATATATATGTACGTCGTCTTAATACTTCAACAGTAACGTAAATGTTAAATAAAATTTCTTTTATAAACATGAAAAGCACGTCTTGTCGTAGGCAAGGGTGACGGTATAGTAAATGTCCAATTATAAATGTGTACCAAACATTTAATCTTAATGCATTATCAGTAAACTATTTGTGTCTCTGTCATGTCTCTTAGCACTAAGTTTTTTGAACAATTAACTATAACTGCAGTACTTGTACATATAAGAATTATTACAGGTTATTTTATATCACATTATCATTTATTTTGTAAGCATCGAAAGTGGACCAAAACTGAAATATTTGTTATGTTTCGTAATATTAATAAAGTATTTGTTAAATTTAGTATCTTTTTTCATGTATATCTAATTACACAAAAAATACTTTTAGACGTGACATCCTGAAAAAATATGGCGCAGATTTCATTAGATATTGCAGAAATATGTAGAGAGAATAAATGTAACTGTATTCCTATGCTTTCTGTAGTATATATTTTAATTTTATAGTATCACATCACAGGATCGACTTATTTCTACTTACCTTATCTTAATTATGCTTCCTAAGATCCAAATATTACAGATAGAACATATTATTTTTTGATAAAATCATACATTCCATATTAGAGATGTTTAGGTTCAAATGGAAAGCTGATTGTAGAGTCAACTCTCTGAATTTTAATCTAAAACTTATTTTAAGTCGAAAATATATAAGACGTATAATCCAATGTTCAAATTGTTTTTTTATTAGATGCACATAAATATGGAATTACTGAAATATCTAGTAACATATGGACAGTGTATCTAGTCTTAGATATATAAATAATAGATAACTGATTCTCGTCAGAATGTCAACTGTAAATGATATATGGCTTTCAGTACCTAAATTTTTCAGATATTACGAAACAAGTAAATATTGTTTTAAACTTCTCATTTGTTGTTTTTTATGTTTGTTTTTTATATTAATTGTTTCATTGGTTTTTTATTCGCAACTAAATATGTATACATACATATATATTAGCACTAGTTGTATAAATTTATTAAGCATATAAGTATATAAAATACATATATAGTGTAATTAAAGATATTGAATAACAATAAAAAATTCATAGTATTTATATAATTAAGTAAATTCCCAGGGTGGTGGTGGGAATAAACATTTAACCGACTACCAAATAAAGGTCGGTCGTGTCACATTTAGTAATATATCGATCAATCTGAAAGACGTTCCCTAAGGAAACGTTTCGATGTTCTGTAATTTATGGATAGCCCTTAAATTATGTCACACATTAAGGAGGTAGGGAGGGATTCAACAAAGTTTAACATTGTATAATAAGGAGTGGATGGGGCTTAAATTTGTTGATGTCATATTTTAAAATGTATTATGATACTAAATTTAAAATATTAACGAAAACCTTAAAAATAGTTTTCTACTTTGTCTACATAAGCATAAGGTTTAAAATGTTCTATTGGCGAGTTTACAGTCTAGTGTAAAATTGCAAGTGTGACAATAACGGAGTGTCAAAAATCATAAAATTCGTATGACGTCATTTATAGAGGGCTCATAAGGAACATATCTTTAGGGAAAGTTATTTCAGCTTTATAAATGCGAGATTTCTGTTTGTTACAATATTTTATATATCTATAATTGTACACCTTAAAAACTTCAGTGCCCCAGTGATAATAAAATTATTAACTCGGTGAAGAGTATTAGTGCTATTTATTTGGTGTTATATTGAAGCACTTGTTTTGGCTATGCAATTGATTAATGTTGTAATTATTTCTAATGTATTAAGGTGTTTCCAATAGGAAAGTAATGTCTATATTTAGCTATATTATGGCTGTAAAATAACGTGAGCGGAAGTTGTTTTTAAATGTTTATACTGTAAGAAAATATATTATTATATAATTCATAGATAAATGTGTTTATATTTCTATTGCCCTTAAATTTCCGGTTTAACCATGGTTTTATTAACTCATATCTTCAAATAGCATAAAGCTTAGATTTCATCATTTCCAGCGTGTACTTTGTTATTTTTATTATATACATAATGTATTGTATTATGATAATAAAAAAATATTACACAAATATTGTTTTATGTTTCGTTTATACGATAAATTATGAAAACAAGCAATTTGAATTCACATAGGTACAGTATACATTTTTAATATAAATATGTATACTACTGTACTACATAGTTCAATTATCTAATTTGTTTTTGCAATGCAATATTTAAATATGTTAATGCGAGGAACAGAGGTAACTGCAGTACTGCTAACTGTTGCAAAAACCGCCATTTTTTAGAAAATCATTGATATTTGCTACTTCCAATTTATTTAATGTAAACAATGCTTTTTATTTAAATGTTTATTTTATAATGCAATCTTTACCAATACTCAGGTTTAATTGTTTTGGATTTTGGAACAAATATATTAACTTTTATAAGGTTGCGTTTCTATGATGACTGCGCACTTTTTGATGTTACTTTTAAGTGGATTATCATAAGGAAGGTTAAATCTGTGCTTATCACTTTCACAAGATAATTAATAAGCTGATAGTATGCATGCTACGTCTATATACAAAACTTACAGATAACAGAACTTAGCATCTGTATTGTCTTGTAAATAGATGGTGTGGACATGGTTTTATAGACGCGTTGCTATAGCAACTGAATATTCACAACAAGTCCTTAATACAAAACACGATCCTGGGTCTTCTTCAGCAAGAAAAGTAATTACCATTTAAAATTAATACTTGGTTTATTATGGACTACTATTTATACCAAATTGAGAAAAAAACAGTGTTAGCCAATATGTACTTAATGGAGTAAAAATGGGTAAGTGTTTTTTAAATGAAATTAATGCGTGTTAAATAAAAACGCACTGTAATTAATATATAATGAGTTGGAAACTTTTGCGTTTTAGATCTAAAACCATTATGTACATAATTGTCTATGTATAATGTTCATGTTTATGCATATAAAATGATAAAAAGAAGGTGGCTAATATTCAGTTGAATTTTAATTTTTGCACGTATATTTAAAACGTCAATGTATACCATGGATATTTCGATGAGTACCTACGTAAGGTGAAAACTGTTCAAACAGGTCCCTGAAATACAATTCATAGAATGCAATTTCTTTAATATTTGCTTTGTAATTACAATACTAGATGTGTTGTAAAAAAGGCAAGTAAAAGTAAATATTTCAGTTGAGTATAGTTAGTATGGAACCTAATACACATTTCTTGTTTATTTAGGTTCCTTCTCATCATATCTTCATTATTCCGGTTCATCCACTCTAGAGCAGGAAAGATTCATTATAGAAGTTTAGTTACCGCATTTATATATGAAGAGTCGGTACTTATGAAGTCAAATAAATATTCGAGTACCTACCATCCAATTACCATTTTTGTAGGTCAAGGAAATGCGTCATTAGGGTCCGAGTTTCAAAGCTTTACCTACTTTACCGCGGTGCTGTGTTGACCGAAATTTTGTCGGCTGATTTGTTGATAATAACCTGAATTATTGTGGAAGGTTCTATAATATATACAACATTATTACACAAATAGAAACTCAATTTTAATTTCCTTTCTTAGAGCACATTTTAAATGCCAACTTATCTCTATCTACATATATTTGATTTTAACGTTACATTGACCGGTGGCAAGTCTATTGTCACCACACCATCACATTACCAGCATCGCCTCTCGGATTAGTTTGTAATGTTGGTTCATGAATATATTTTCTTTTTTTTCCAGAGTCTTCAATGTTATCTGGAACATAAATCAATATGTTCCCTCGGTTGACAGGGTGTTGTTTGATCCTGTGCATATTGGAATCGTTGCTAGGGAGCGCCAGGTGCAAATGGGTTGAGGGTAATCTCAACACTAAGGAGGTAATGAACTAAATACTTGTATAAATACATGTTTATCTTTAAATCCTTAATAAAAAGTTTTAAGACATCAGGCAGTACCTACCTACTGTTATATAGGCTAGCGACCCTTCCCGGCATCGCACAGATGTATTACAAATCTTTGAATTTCTCGGCTTGATATATATATATATATATATACTATAACACGCATGTATTATACATAAAAACCTTCCTGATGAACAACTCTGTCTATTGAAGAAACTGCATTAAAAGTCTTTGCAAAATTTAAAGGATATAAGCGAACAGACAGCTTTACTGCATCTGCAAAACAGACTTTGTTTTATACTATGTAATGATCAACTGCTACTACAATAATGAGATAGTGGGGGTATGAGGACCGTTGAAATAAAATATAAATATAGAAGGAACTTGTCATAAATCATATAACTATAATATGGCTGTTTATATGCTGATGCTAATCATCGTTAGTTGTCGGTGTTTCCATCACCGGAGAAATAATCAGAAAGAAAAATTTACATATGTAAGTACTCGACATGCATCGGCTACATAGATTTGAACACACTACTTTTCGATCTACGTCGGGGTAGTAAGTAAATGCGATTTGACAAAAGGAAATACGATTACTTACTACGAGTACAATTCGAAAGTGTTGCCCATATTAGTTTATTTCAATAAAGCTTTCCTTTAATTATTTTTACCGCTTTACTTCCGATGTTCGCGAGTTCGATTCCTCGCATTGTGTAATTTATATTCATGAGTATGATTAGAAGAATTAAAGAATCTAAGAAAAACAAATCTAAGTCAATACTTAGATTTTTTTGTCAATGATATCAGTTGTCTAGTACCCACAATATAAGCTCTGCTTATCATGGGACTAGGTGGCTCTGTGTTAATTGTCCAGGGTTATATTTATTTCTGTTTTAAAACTGTATAATGGATCTACAATTTCAGAATTGGGCTTTCCTATCGCGCTTTTGTTTCCTGTCACTAGATGGCCAATTCGAATATCTGATAGAGTATGATAAAGACATGGGTATACCCAACCTTTTGTTATATTATGACGATGACAGCCAGTGGCCTGCAGTCTACCACAGTACCAAGGTAGGACTTTCATTTACATTTGGGTGGATGGAGATTATTAGTAATGAGTATTGAGTCCTTGACACCTAGCAGAAAGGTCTAAGGTTAATCTTAGTTGATTCATCATGATGGGTTAAATATACTGAATTCATCTTTGACTGGCGCCCTCCAGCGTATACTGTTAGCCCAGGTGTATATAGCTATTTCATTTAGATATATCATATATATCCGTTTCCAGACAGCATCAGTTACATTTTCATTATAATAATTAGATTAAAACAAGTTTTATGAGCCTGCATGTGATTATGTTTATAGTCTGAGGTGGAACTGGTGGTGGAAAGTTACCATATATACCTATTTAAAAATGACATTAGGTTTTGAACTATAGTCGCTCACACACGACTAATTATTATCACCATCATATGGTTTTATCAACTGTTGTGTTTGTTATACATGTGCTTTAGATTTTAATCCAAGAAACTCGTATAACTTGAGAATGACTCACTGTGAGTAAATTCAATCTGTTTTTGATAGATTAATGTGTAAAGGCTGTGTTTAGTTTGTGTTTTATATAGTCAGTATAGAATTGTATTTTTTATAATTATATTCATTTCCAGACATGCAGAGAACGAGAGGCGGTTCTCAATAAAGCTGGTCAGAATCAAATGATAAAACTATCGTACTGGTACCCGGACACTGAGTTTTCTGGTTGCATCATCAGAAAAGCCAATAAAGAATTACCTGCTGAAAAAAGGTACAATTTTAAATTTTATTATTAAAATACTTTAGCATGTAACTGTATGCAGTTTTTGTGTAATGGTAGATATATTTTAAAGAGCCTTTGCGTTTTTTATAAACTAATGAGATTATGGTAAATTAGAACACGGCTTGCCTGATGGTAAGCTGAGCAGAATACGCGTAAGAAATTCTTATTGTGAGATTTTTGGCAATATACTAATATATAAACTGAAGAGTTTGTTTGTTTGGTTGAACATGTCTCTCAATATATAATAATCTCAGAAAATACTGTTTCGAATATAAACACTATTTTAATGCTGGATAGTCCATTTATCAAGGACGATGATACATAACATCATACTATACTCAATGGAAACGGAACATAAAAAAAATGTTCCAAAATAGTAGAAGTGTGACGCAGACGAAATGGCACGATTCAACTAGTAGTTACCTACCTAATAAATAAAATAATAATTACTATATTATTGTGTACAATAGCACAACAGTAACAGCGTCAACGACTCCCTCATTACCAACAATAAAGAACTCGACAACAAAAAGGAAAAATGGCACAAAAATAGAACATCCTTTAGATCCAGCTTATTACGATCAGTTCCTAAAAACTACCACTCCAAAAACAAAAGCTACTAACAATGATGGAAATTTTACTACCTGGTTCGAAATACTACCAACTGACGAGTTAAATTTTACAACGGTGTTGCCAGAAGAAGATCTTTGGGAGAGTGTTGGGACGAACAGAAGTGATAGTCAATTTGAAAATTTGAAAGATGTAGAAATATTGTTCGATAACCGTAGTAATGCTAAAGTAAGTCTATTTCAATTATATTGTTTACCGTAATTAGCTCCATTAAATGTAACTAATCATAGGCCCTTTAGCGGGTAGATAGAGAGAATCTGTTACTCTGCGCAGCGCGTCGTAGTCTTGTTTTAGGCTGCCATGAGGTCTACACCTCCTTAAAGATTATGAGAAGGAATTTCGCCGAGACCAAACACTTTCTGTAAATTAACATTTCTAACTTTCTGGTGAAAAAACTACAACAAACTATTATATATTAATATGAGACTGTACGGCAGGCTTCGGTATATAGTTTACCACAATGGGCTAACCTACCTTACTTCATGTTCATCGTATCATCCTCCAGTGGTGTCCTGCCAGCGTTAGCGCAGGCGATCGATTACCATACGATAAAAAAAAGCTCTCTATAGTAATAACTAGACGCTCCGGCTTCGCTCAGGTGTACATATAAACCTTCCTCTTGAATTACTATCTACTACAGACAGACGAAGAACGAAAAGACACCGGAAGTAACTTCATTTTATACTATGTAAAATCTAGGAGGGTAGACGTCAGACTGTCGGTCGGCCAATAAATATAAAGCCAAAACCATACCTTTTCATAATAGGATTGCAAATTAGCTATCGTAATTAAGTACTTCAAATTTTACAGCATAAAATAAAGCGGTCTACATTTGAACTATATGAACATTACCACCGACGGCGTCTTGCGTCGAATCAAGCTTATACTAACAGTAAGAGGAATGAAAATAATAAAAATGACAATATGGAGAGAATTGTTGTATCGTGCCATAACTCTAGACGGTTCCGATCTGCTAGAGAGAGATGGTGGTTTATAGCAATCAGCAATTGTGACAGTTCTAAGGTAAACCTTATTTTGTTTGGCATAGTTTTGTATATTCCAGTGAGATTAGTATTTCACTAATGTATTGTAATAAGCTTCACTGAAAATTTAGCCTTTATATCAATAGATTTACAAAGAGAAAAATTATACCAGTTCAAAAAACCATTCAAAGTAGTACCTATCAAACTATAACTTAATTTTAAAACAACAATAGGAAACATAAAACAACAACAACAAAGGAACTACTATAAATATATGAAATATGAATTAATAAATATAAGTAGTAAATATTTATTTAAATATATTCACATGCTTTCAGGGTTTGGATGTGCGATATAAATTTCTAATGACAAATGGCCCCGATGGTGATTTTTGGCATGAACACTTTTCTGCTGACGAGTTTTGTAAGTTTAGAACATTCTTAATATGACCATATGATTTTTTTCCACTAAATACTCAACATTAATTGTGAAACAGGAATTTAATTTGCACAACAACAGTTATTGTTAATTTTAAAAATAATCGTTAGAATCTGTTCAGAATTGGTTATGCCTAGAAAATACGCTTTTGAGAATCTTCTCAAAATGACTTTCACGCTATTCGTACTGCCAATCAGGCTGCTGCAGATCGTATTAATATATTTTTTTTAAGGTCATCAAAGTCCCATTATAACTATCTATTTTAAAGTCGCCAAAGTGCCATTATGACTATACTTTTTGATATTTTTAACAATCAATATGGAATCATATAATACTGATCGCAATCAGGTTTTCTTTTATAAATTTATCTTTAATTGACGGCCTCGGTGGTTTAGTAGTTAAGCACACCGTTTTACTTCTTGTGCTCGCGGGTTGGATACCTTGCACGTTTGTTTGTATCGATTTAGATGTTTCTAGATATGTATTTACAAAATAAAAAAATATTTATATGTATTGTATTTACAAAATAAAAAAGTATTTATATCATATATACAAGCTCAGCTACCATAGGACTAGATGACTTTGTGCGAATTGTCCATGGATATTATTATTATTATTTATAATACTTTTTTTGCAGACGTACTCCCAGTGTTGCTAGCGTACACGTTTGCATACGTCATAGTGATGATCGCAGTAGTGATGTGCAGCGTTGAGCTCAAGTCTCGTCACCTTCTACATTCCACATACAAACTCTTCCTAATATCCATAGTGGCCCAACACATAGGGGTGGTCATGCAGAGTTTAGCGTATATACGGTACGCTGTTAACGGTGTTGGTAGCGTCAACGCAAAAGTTATTGGTATGTACAAAAATTTGCGTAAAAATGTACTAGGACATTTATTAGGAACGTAATGTCCTTCATATGTGACTTTGATTTAAAAAAAAATCTGGTTGGTGTCAAGGGTCGACAGCGTGGAGGTTGATAATGGGGTTACTTTTCAACATAACATATTATTATTATTATTATATTATTAATCGCATTACCATATTATAAATGAAACCATTGTCAACAAATCATATTATGATTCCGTATCTGAGATCTCCTTCCAATTATATATCTACTTGTATTGGCCTAAATATATTTTTGAATAATTATTTGCATATACTCGGCAAATATATATTAAAGATTCATATATAAGTAGTATACGCCTAATCATCAGCGCCATCTAGGCTTAATCTAATTAAGCCTAAATGGCGCTGTGTTGTGTTGTTAGGAGTTAAAAAAAACTTAATTCCAATCCGTAACAGTGTTATTGAGTAACAAAATAAACTCTTATCTTTCAGGCCAATTTTTCTGCGGTGTGTCAGAAACCACGTTTCTGCTGTTAGTCATTCTGATGGCTAAAGGATACACGATCACGCGGGGTCGGCTCAAAGTGGGGTTCACTGTTAAATTGACGATATTCATGTGCTGTTATATAGTCACATATATTGTCCTGTTTGTGTACCAGGCTAAAGTTAGTAAATATTTTTGTTTTTGTATAATTTTAATAATATTATAAACGCAGAAGTTAGTGACTGTGACTTTCACGCTAAAACTACGGAATGAACTTTTCGCTCAACATGCAGGGGCGTGACTGCTCTCTCCCTTTCATTCACCCAGATTTAAATCAATTTTTTCGGTCTAACACTCGGTGACGATGCTCTCCGTCACCTAGCCACTTAGTTGTATATATCTTGTGTACTGTCCGCAGGCTTTCGACCCTGGCGAGGTTTTGTATCTATACGAGAGTCCGGCAGGGTACGGGCTGATTGTGTTGCGAATACTTGCATGGTGTGTTTTTGCTTATTCCACTTTCTTCACTGTCAAAAAATATCCAGAGAAGGTAATGTTTTACATGTTCTTTACTTGTAAATATATTTCTAGTTTAAATGTGGGCTTATAATAACCAATAATAATATTTTATCTGTATTCAAATATTTTTTAGTACAAATCAGGTCTAAGAAAAATAAAACTCTATTTGACATATCAATCTTAGTATATAATATTGTATTATCCATTACGGGCACTTATATTAAATAAGTATTGAAGATATCATAAGACCTAGTCGACTTATTCATTTCTGAATTTTTTTTTTAATTCCAGAATATGTTTTACTGTCCGTTCTTCATTTGTGGCACTATCTGGTTTCACGCTGGGGCACTGTTCATACTCACAGCTAACTCATACATAGGTAAGGTATATACATTCACGGTTATAGTTTTGAACATTTAAAATATTTTCTCTGCTATATACAGCTTTTTCCCGTAATTAACAGAAAGTTTTCCATTAAACATCATATCACAAAATTTAGTTAATTTCACTTGTTTAGGCTGCTAAAGTAGCTGCTTTACTGGATTGCTAAAGTAGTGGTGCCAAATATTTTTTTTTATATTTTCAACTCGCTCTTCAGAAGTTTCGACGATATTATGAGTGCCGCATACACTCAATAAAAATTTGGATAAATATTTTACAGACAAATGGGTGAGAGAGAGCGTAGTGACGGCCGTCTTACTCTTCATCACATTTAGTGGACACATCATGTTTTTGGTATGTACATATAGATATTTTTATATTGATAAATATTTTGTTTATTGTTTTACATTTGACTTGGTTGTTATTTCCACATGAAATATATATTTGATATTGATGTGTTAGACGGGTTCGGGCGCTCTATACACGGCTCTAAAATCAGAGGGAATATTGAATCATCGGTACCGACGAAGGTCAACGGACACATTATGTCAAAATGGCTTCGATTACCCTACACATGAGGCTATCTAGGAAGCAACAGAAGTCCTCTCATCGTTGCTATGATATGGCACCTGAGTTTAGGGTCGTGTATAAACCGTTTAACCAGAGGATTTCCCAGAAAAAACTGACAGACATACTTTTGCAATTATAATCTATAGATTTCTATGTAGGTACATAATAAATATCTTCTAAACGCTACTTATTACGATTTTCAGCTACTGACGTTACCTGTATTTGCCAATAAGAATTTCCCGTACCATGTCCGTACCACACAAATAGGAGTTATGGAGGTAAATATATAAAACCATAAAAATATTTATTGGGATGGAAACATCCGCTTGAAGTAACGGTATAAGCTGACGAGGCGCCACTGAAAGATAATAGGATGAGGATCAAGCCAGGTCAACTAAATAGATATATGGTATCTAGATCTACATGATAGTACACATTCCTAGTAATGGAGCCCCTTGTTCCTGCTAACAAATCTCGTCTCCAACTGCACCAATATTATTTATTCTACAGCCTTTTGTTGATTTGTACTCCTGTCTTCACTCCTTTATCCAATGTAGGTCTGGAAGAGATTGAGTGGTAAGTCGACGTATGTTTAAAAACACTTCTGGTGAAATAAAGTATGTACACAATAATTCTACATTTTAGATGACCGGCAACGCAGCCTTAGACAGTTTTGGTCATAATGCATACCATCCCAGCAACGGAACCGCGCAGACTGTAATCATTCCGTTGACTAGGTGAGTACATACCCAGAACTTGATTATTTCGCATATCCTCTTGGGCGGAATTCTCTATATGTACTTTACAAGTAGAAATATTGTTAGAAAATCATATATACTTTTAGGAACATTTCCTTTTTTAATTGACTTAAAAAAGAAGGAGATTCTTTATGCAATTGGCATGGCAGAGAAGCTGAAGGTTTATCTGATGGTAAGTGATAACCGTCGCCTATGTGCATGAACAGTACCACGGACATCTTATTATCATATGATACCACGACGTCGTCATTCTGATGGACTAAGATGACATGCCTTAACAATTTCACCTTTCGACTGATGCATAAAAATGTAACACTGAGGTACCTTCGCAAATTTAGAAAACTGACCACGGTAAAAACTAGTTTTCTGCTCTTTTTGTTAAAATGAATATGATACCGATTTATTGCATGTAATTCGAAGTGACGAGCAATATGTGGTCAAAAAATCCTTACGACTATCGGAACGTAAATGAGGTAGAGGACGTTCTCCAGCTACCTAGAAGACAAACCATGTGTAATTTATCGCTATGGAAAAATTGCCCGATGCGACAACCCAGGACATATTGTCCTGGGTTGTCGCAAAATTAGGAGAACCAACCCCATATAAAGTAAGACAGTGCTAAGAAAAAGAATAAGCAATAGGACGCCTATAAGTATCATATTAGAGAACAGAATCAGATGCATTTGCCGTTAAGATAAATGTAACAATCCGCTTCAGATACTAATTACATATTATTTGTTTATCGACAGACGTACAGAAGAACTAATTGGGAATATGTATAATCAGTACATGGCTTCAGCTCCGCCGCTTTCACTCGAACACCAGACACCGAAATTAAACGGAATACCGAAACGAATCGACGACTCGTTGTCACCGAAAAACCGACTTGTTCAACAAGACAGCACTGACACTAATACTTCTGAAGATATAAATCCAGTGTTAAATGAGAATAGAGAAGTCTTTACAGTTGAAAATCAAATGAGGAAGATTGATACTGTATTGCCACAAGAAAACAGATTAAAGACTGTATTGCCACATGAAAGCGTCAATTTGCCGTCTGTGTTGCCATACGAGAATGGTATTCCATTAGTATTGCCATATGAAAACGGCGTGAAATTACCAAATTCGGGGATTGAGTCTAGGAATGATTTACCCAGTGTGTTGAGATCTAGAAGGAATATTCTAGAACCTATTAAAAGGGAGGAAGCGCCGGTGCCTTCGTGGTCATTAGCAAAAGGACCTTGTGTGATTTCCATGCAAAAGAAAGCAAAGCCTGTAGATAATGAAGGTAGGTATATATTTCATTAATGGATGCATGCATTTGTCAAACATTCAAAACCGATTAGCTGTTTATATTAACTGTACATACATATTAATTCATACAATACATTTACAATTACGTCGCCTTCTCCACAACAAACAAAGGTTTTGGGTGTCGTGTGTATTTCTGACTGACTCTGCGGTAAAAGACCCATATCAAACTGGACAAAAATGGGCTTTGCTACGTTGAATTCAAAGCTGTGTATGTACAGTGTTGCATACAACACAATATCCACAGTTGATAATGCCTAATTTACACAAAATTACACATTTATGAATTCTTATTAATTTTATACCAATATTTACAGAACCACCTAACTCTCCCAATGGAAGTATATCAATACCGAACGGAAAGAAAGTGCCGCCAGTGAGAAACGGCCTACCAAGTTCGGGTGAAATTTCTACTATACACGAAGGGCATGTGCAATCTTACCAGAACACTGTCAGCAAAGCTACCATAGATCTGTTTAGTGTTGCTAGTAATAAGGAATAATGTTTAACAGTAGTAGATTTTAAGTCCTAATCAAGAATGTAGGCTAATGTTTACATATTTGTAAACAAACTATATTTATATGAATTACAAGCGACAATTAGATATGAGGCGTGAAAATAGATAAAACAGTTAATAACGAACGAGGCTCCATAGGTAGCCTTACATAGTCCTCGGAATGGATCACTCTGAACAAAATAAATGAGTAGTAACGGTGTGGTAGAGGCGAGGTTTATAATAAAGTGTCTGATACACGTATGTGATAAGTGATACAAATTTATATCAAATATCAAAATCCTGTCAAAACCTCCCGCGCAAATCTCGAGTGGTTTTGACAGGATTACAGAGTTGATGGGAGTTTTACAAAACTTACAAGTACCTACTACAATACAAGTACAATGTTTGGCTATTTAATATTATTATATCTTTCTAAATAGATTTGAATCAATCAATCAAAATTGTGACTAAAACATTTTGTGAAATTTATGTACGAGTCCGAAAGAAAAAATGGTCTGTGATTTTATGCCATTGTTAAGGATTACTTATAAATTCTACCAGTTTATACATTTTTCTATAAAACAAAACCTGTGGAAGGAGTACAAACGTTTTTATTTTTAAATGTCAAATAATTGGAGCATAGGACATAATTTTATGTAATAATAAGAATAAATAATGATACACACAAGAGACGGAACGCAGACATAATTTGCAACCATAATAGAAAATTAAAAGATAAATCAATCCATTTAATCAATTATATAGAATAATCTCAAACTTATATGCAAATAATACTCATATGATAGTCGATATTTAAAGTGTGTGATATTTTTAATATTAGTTTTAAAAGAATAAAGTTCATTACTCATTATTTGTCGTTTATATTTTTTTAATATGTATTTGTATGGAGCAAATGTGTTTCCTTTAGAAATGAGTAAGGTAATTTAATCTTATATACTAAACTGATACGATATTGAAGTATTTTATTGTCACACACTATTTGACTTGTCAAATTTTTGTTACTTATTTGATTTTTTTTATAAAATATTTTTATCCAAAATAATTTGATTTTATAACATCTCGATTTACTTATTCAGGTAATTTACAGACTTATTTTAGTCAATAAATAGATAGCTTTGTAAGCCGTGTTTCGGTTGAAATAGTGTAGTGCAATTATAGGGCATGGGGTCTAGACATCTTAGTCGCGCGGAGTTACGTGTGAGGGGTACCACAGCTGTCACAAGATGATTTGATGTCTATGGGGTTACTCATGTATATAGAAGACAACTACCACTAACAATCAGGTTCACCGTCAGGTACTTTACCATTACAGTTACATAAAAAACAATACTATTTAATAGCGGGACATTATTTTCTTCACTTACCTCTTGCCCATTGCTCTTGGACTTGTAGAAAAAAGGAAAAATAGAATTGCTTTGTATAGCACATACTCGACCAATATGCGAGACCAATGTGCAATTATGGGAGAAATAACAGGCTGTCTACGTTTGAAAAGGAAAAAAAAATCAATTAATTTTCAACTTTTATTCTGCGTTATAACTTACAAGTCTTTATCTCAAGTAACAACTTAGAAAAAAATAGAGATTACATTTTGTGTAGACCGTAATTACTTGCATATTTTGTTATGCTATGCATTTATGACTGCAAAAACATACATGCTAAAGTACTTTGATGCCAGAGTAAATAACATCTCCTAATTGTATCACGTACCATTTTAGCCATAAAGTGGCAACACTGAGAATGCTAAAAAAAATAATCATTCGCAATTACTATATGGAAATATTAAATAATTGATAAATAAGAAGTGCTATTACATTATTAGGTATACCTAGTATATTTTTGTTAGAAATAGAAAATATGGACATTATTATTGAAAAAGAAATTTAATGAAACACAACTCACATATAACACAGTTCTGTGCTAACCAATACAGACCGTTGCAAGTCGGCAATGTCTTATAAAATAAACTAAATAACTTACTTTATTAATTACATAAACATAGTTTTATTTAGAGAACTATTGATATGCTGCACTTTGTTAGTCTTGATTTACTTTATTTTATAATAATATTTCAGGACAATTTCCACAACGCCATCCAGTCCTATTCTAAGCAGGAGCTGTGTTATGAGGACTGACTACGTATATAAATACATAGATACATTTGTTTTATAATTACATACATGGTATACATAGAAAAAACAATTATACTCATCGAATCGAACCCGCGACCTTTGGTAGTATGGGGGTGTACTAAACTGCTAGACTATCGAGAGCACCTAAATTTTATATTAGATGACCTGTGCAACTTCATCTGTGGTCACATTTTCCAGCTCTATTCCTATTTGACGTGGCGTGACATTATAAATAAATTTTATCAGCACAGGAGATTACCCTGACCATCCAAACTCACAATATTTAACTTCTTTATGATATTTGTATATATTTCTAGATATTGTCCACAAAAAGAAACACACTTTAGTAGAAATGTAGATTTTGTTTTATAAATATACTTTTCACTAAGGTGGTCAAGTTGGTTTACTCTATACTGTCTGTTTGTAACAAAGTGCAGCATACCGAAGTTCAATAAAGAGTACATTGTGACATTTAATCCCACTTCTTAAACTCCAACCCGTCAGGTGGTTTCACTTCTACCTTGTCTTTAGCCACTTGCTTCCAGTTTGTGCTGAGTACAGTACCACCTGATTCCACCTGCCAGAAAAAGATGTCTGCAATGCATTATATTTACGTGAATTATTTTTTAGGATCTCTGTTGTCTGGACATATCACCAAACAATTATTATTTTCCGAGACGCATCACTATTGCTTGAAATAATTTAAACATTTCCAAGAGTTAATTAAATTATAAGAAGTTGAATGATAAGTCACGGGATCTTACCACGTTTTATTTTTGTACAGTCAAACTTAACAATAGTATATGAGAGTATTTATATTTTCTGTACAAGTAGTTCACTGCACTTCAAATTAAGAACCTAGACTTGTGTTGCCTACTATAGCTTTTTTTATTATAATCCGTTATATTTACACTTAAAACTGCTACTTTTAGAATTTCACAGGCTCTCTCAGCTGGCGTAGTATATTTTCGTAAATACATGGCTAGTTCCAACGAGACATGGAACCGTTGACAACCAGCCAACTAGCCAAGACAGAGTATTTGAACAGACAATTTCAATTTTCAATATTACTTACAAAACTTTTATTCATCGCTCGTCGGACCTCATCGGAGCCTTCTCCATATATTTTTTGAAAGAGAGCATTCAGTGCGGCTTCACCTTCCGGTTTCTCTTCTTCCTCCTAGAAATTATTTTTTTTTTGTAATATTGGAGACACAAAGTTCTGAATCATATTTATTAATGTGTTTACAATATCACTGTGAGTACATACCATTTTTTTGATGTCTTTTTCTATTTTGTCCCAATCTTTTTTATATATTTTAGGAGGCTGTTGAGGTCCAGAGGCATCTACAATAGCTAAAATAAAAAAGATGAACTGCTAAACTAAAAATGAAAACTAAACTAAAAGCTACAGAAATGAAAATTCCTGTAGTTTTTAGTATTGAGAACAGAATTACGAAATAAAGAGTTATTCTACCAAAGAGAGTCAATTAGTACTAATTTTCAGTAGTAGTAAGGAGCTACAATGTTTGTAAAATACCAAAAGTGTCAAAGTATATTTTGTGGTGAGTATAAGTCAAATAAAAAAATCGACAAATTAATAACCACCCATCTAATGTAATAGAAAGCCTGTGAATATGAACATCATGGTATAAAAATGTAGATCAAATCCAACCTGGGGGGAGATTAACAGTTATGGAGATAGTATTCCTAAACCATCATGGCCGTCATGGTTAACTTCATTCTCATCTTCTCTACTAGTATATTTAAGTAGCATGTACAACAAAGTATTCCTAATTCATTTATTTATTTGTTTGGATTGGATTGTTAGTAATGTGGACTGTTGACCCCATTGCTAGATATGTACATACATATGTACATGCAATGTCAGATCAACCTCCACACAGTTCTACTGGAAACCATGATAAATTCTTGCTGAATTTGTTATAATGAGGTAACTGCTATGACCTCAGGTTCATCTTATCAACTTCCACTGCTCCACCAGCATATACCGTTAGCACAAGCAGGTGCATCAATCCATTATAATTTATATAAAAAAATCATTTAATTGTATCATTCAAATTTATATTACTGATTACCTTGGGGTATAGTTTTAATTTTTTCCTCAGACCCCTCTCCTTCAAGTACAGTCCACCGTAACCCCTCCTTCTTGCGCAGCTTCACTTCAATCTTAGAGGGTGTCACCAAATGAGTACACATGGATGGGACTATTTCATGTGCTAACTCTATTTCTAAACTATACTCATTGTCTGAGTCTGGGATTGAACTTGATACTGATAACTGGAATGTACAATGATATTTTAAGTTTGTGTGCTTATAGGCAGATTTTTTTTTTACTGGATTAGCAAATAATTCTATTGTCCATAAGTCACAACTAATACATATATATGGTATAGTACAATGGACATCATAATATGTCTCTTGTTCTATACAACCAACATAAAATCAAAAGTCATGAAATCTGTCCATCTTATGGGAAAATTTAGGATATAATTTTCTTGAGACTCCCTTATATTATTATAAAAGAGTATAAAATAAAAATATGCTTGTAAAACCAACAACCAAAAGCTTCAAGCTGTATTGATCAAACAAAGAGGTTGCTATCCAATGAAACAAGAATGTTGTTTACATTAATCATTATTATGGATATATAAGTTTACATATATGTATAACTATACTTACACTTTTATCACTATAGTGAACCTTAACTTTGTCTTTGGGTGCATTTTTGATCAAAATAGTGATCACTACTTGTGCCTCAGTCTGGTACCAATCATGTTTGATTTTAGGTTTCACTGGCTAGAAATAAAATTTATTTTAAATAAAAACTTTAAACAACAGAAACATAAAACAAACAACAGAAATAAAACTTATGATTTAATCATACAATAAAATTCAACAGTACTGGAGATATGGTTCTGTTTCTCCTGTGTTTAAAAAACCAATTTACAATAAGACAATATTTATTCCCTTTTAACCATTACATAGTATAAAATTAAGTTGCTTCTGCTGTCTATTCACTTAGATCTTTTAAACGACACAACAGATTTTAATGCAGTTTTCAGCAATAGATAGAGTGATTTAAGGAGAAATTTGATATGTACAATACATTTCATCCCTGTGAAGCCGGAGCGGTAGTCAGTAAATAATAAAAGTATATCATTGCTTTCATACTATGCTAAGAAACAATTGACTATGGTGGATATTGAGATTAATATCTTATTAATGTGATATGGAACATTATTACATGAGAATGCAACTTACACAACAATATCATTATTAGAAAAGTCATTTATAAAATATAAACAAAAGAAATGATTTCAAAGAACCTATGTGAAATTGATAAAAACTCATTCATCATAAAAGTTAATATTCATTTTTGTGTCCTTTCATTTTACAACGAAAGTAAGGTTTTTCATGTTCTAGTAACTTCTAACTTTCCAGGCTACAAGAATTGGTTAGAATCTAAAAATAGAGAAACAATAGAAACTTTACCTCCGATGGTGCTGTATCCTTCGTTTCAGACATTGTATATGTTCTTACTTCTTGGCACGTATTTAATTATATTTCTTCCTCAGGTAGAATTAATATAACATTTTATTTTTAATATAAACAAAAAATGAAAGTCAGATTCAAATTTAAATCACAGATATATAAGCTCTCTGTGCAGTTCTGTCATGCACTCTGTGTTTCACAGCTTTTTTTTTTGGTTCAGTTATTCTCTTTTTGGGGAAAGGCAAAAGGACTCAGCCCATACAGCCAATGTTTCACAGCTGTAATGAATTTGTCAATGTCAAAAGTTGTGTCAAAAAGTTAAATTTTCTTTTCGTCTCACTTTTTATTATCAAACAAAGTTGATAACATTGATAGTAGGTTGTATTTAATTCAAATTATTAATTATTCTTACATTTTCATGTTTGTAGGATGCGGGTGAGTTTTAATTGTAAAAGCTATTATATATATATATGTATAATTCTGTTTTTATATGTAATGTATGCAATGTGTTACTATTTTCAATGTTTATAATATTAATTTTATCTTATCGTGAATTATTATTTATTATTCTTAAGTCTAATAATAATATAAGATGTCAGTAATGTTATATTTACTCACTGATAATGAAAGAAAAATCTTTATATTGAGAAACTTGCCACGCCGGGTCACTCAGGATTTAACTAATAAATCATTATAAAACTTTCCGACCCGCTCTCTTTTCTCAAAATATCCTATTCCCCTCTACTTGATCTCCTAATTCTCCCCTCTATTAAATATAAGCAATCACTATTATTACAAGTTAATTATATTTTTTCTCATTGTACTAAGGTTTTAACAATCCCTTATAATAAATATAAAGGATTGTTAATAATGTGGACTATTGACCCCATTGGTATCAATGTACAGTGTCAGATTAACCTCCATACTGTTCCCTCTGGAAACCATTGTGATAAGTTCCTGGGAACTTGTTATGATAAGCTAATTGATCTGACCTTGTGCTCACCTTATTTTCCTGCACTAGTGCCCCACCAGCGTTTATGTTAGCAGGTGAACCATTCCATTATCAACCATTACAAAATAAAACTATACATATATACAAGGGAGATTGCTAGTAATGGTGAAAAGTAACACCTTTGCTAGCAATGTATCATGACCGGTCAACCTCCACATTGCCCCATCTAAAAACTATTGTGGTTGGTGAATCATTCTGGTCAATTTTTATTATGGACTAAGCAATCTGACTTCATATTTGTCTTATCCTCCACTGCTCAGTGCACTATTGTGACTGTGTATCCCAGAGAATTGTCTAGAAATATAACATTGATATTTATTATGTAACCATATATTTTGTTTGTTACAGTATAGCAATATTCTGTTATTAAGAAACATATACAAAATTGAACTTGTGAGAAGATTAAGCAATAATATGGATAGCACAAAGAGAGTAGCTATATGTCAGATGACATCTGTGGCAGATAAGTCCACTAATTTGCAAGTGGTCAGTCAATTAATTAGTGATGCAGCCAAAGAAAAAGTACAGGTATACAAGTTCTTATAGTTACCAATCACTACTAATAAGTTATCTATTTATACCAATTTATTCAAGCTTAGTATGTTTACAGTAATAAACACTAAGTGGGAATGAATTGGTGAGTACTCAGATTGAGAAATGACAAGTCCCTTGATTGAGTAACTTCAAAACAAATCAAGGTATTTGTTGCGAAGAAATACAACAATGAACAATTTATAGTTTAAAAAATTTATAAAATATTATTCTTCTATTTTTTTTGCAAATACATATTTTAACTACTTATAAAGTCCAGTGAATGCATCCAGGAGGCATGTATATTCCAATGCAAAACAATTCCCCTGGAAAAATGAAAATGAAATTCACCAAATTTCCATACCTAAGCATAAAAATTAAAAAATAATGTGATATTGTAATTGTATTACAGATGCTATTTTTCCCAGAAGCCTGTGATTACATATGTGATAACAAGAAAGATGTGATAGGACAAGCAGAGCCAATACTGACAGGCAGTATAGTAAACAGATACAGAGAGTTGGCTGCTGAACATAATGTGTGGTTATCTATGGGTGGAGTACATGAGAAGGTTGGTAGTCTATGGATAAAACTCTCCTAGAAGTTGGCTTAACCCTCCAAATAGTTTGTTCATGATAGTGTTTCCAATATATATATTGATGACACATATTTTCGTGAGTTAATTTTGGGCAAGTACTCTCATTTTACCAATTTTTTCCGTGATACAGTTATACATGCATTCTTCCAACACAAAGTGTGAGAAATTAGACTTTAATTAAATATGATTGAAATACTATTAAATTAAATATGATTGAAATACTATTCAATTGGTTGCTCACTGTCAATTGTATATTTAAAGTGTTCATATGTAGAAAAAAGTATAAGAAGGAAATTATATTTTAAGTATTCAAGGGTAGATTTTATTTAAACTCATGCTCATCTTATCATCCTCCACTAGTACCCTACCAGCATAAACCATTAGCGCAGGCGGGTGCACCATTCCATTATCATCCATAAGAGAAAATATTTTGTTTGCTTTGTACCAAAATGTGTACTCAAACAATTTGATAGGTGCCATTTTTTACCGCTGAGAATAGGTATATATGTATATATATTTTTATTAAAAAATTCAAAATATCATTTTGAATTTTTAGGATGAATTATTTTTTGAATTAATTTTTAGGATGAATCAGAACCTACAAAAATGTTCAATACACATGTGATAATAGATGACAAAGGTGATATAGTTCAGACATACAGAAAACTCCATCTCTTTGATGTAGAAATACCTGAAAAGAATGTAAGACTGAAGGAAAGTGACTTTTCAAATGCTGGTAAACATATTGTGACCCCAGTCGAGACCCCTGTGGGAAGAATAGGTAGTGTTTTTTATAATATACTAATAATACAAACAGGAAAGACATTATTTTTGTTTAAATTGTATATGTCATAGAAAAACAGATCAGGTACATTCTACTATATGTATATACTATAACATATATAATTAATTCATTCTGTGTAATTTATTTATTTATATTAAATATAGTATTTATGTTTATTTTGAATATATTTTGAAAATATATTCATATAATATAGAATAAGCTCGCCTTTACAATAAAACATGTACATTATTGTACAACTGGCTGTACCCGCGACTTCGTCTGTGTGGAATTTAACATTATTTTTCTAAAATAAGAGTAGCCTAAGTTACTCCTTATTACATCAGCTACCTGCTAATAAAAGTCCCGTCAAAATCGGTCCAACCATTTCAGAGATTAGTCGGAACAAACAGACGGATATACAAAAATTATAAAAAATGGTTATTTCAATATTACAAACAGTAACTCCAATTTTATTTATATGTATAGATAAAGAATAAAAAAATATATTCAAGTATCTTTTTATTAGTAAAAAATAAAATAGAATAGAATAGAAAATCAGTTATTCAAATAAACTTAATTTAAGCACTTTTGAATAGTCATAACATTTTATTATCTACCGCTCGTTCGGAAAGCTGTCACATCACAAGAAGAACTAGCTAGAAACTTGTGTGTTGCTCTTTTAAATAATCCTTGTAAGTTTACTTTTACAAGTCGAAACGTGTGAATACAAACTACCAACCAGCACTAATTTTAAGAGTTTATAACATTCCATGATACAAGCTCTGCTTAGCTTGGGGCTAGATGGCGCTGTATAAATTTTCCAGGGATACTATTATTATCATTATTTTATATATTCCCATTTTACGGAAATAATACGCTCAAACACGCGGCCCTTAGCAAAGCGTGGATGAGTTAAAAAGTCATATGAGGATGATGAAAGTGATGATGAAAGAAATTTCCTTACAATACGGCATGTATTAAGAATGACAGCTTTTTGTAATAGTTCCATTGTAGTATGTGTGTTTGCTAAGACTTCTTTATAATTATTATTAATGTTTGATACTCTTTACCGAAATGTGTTGTCATAAAATACTTTTTAAACATTACAGGCATGGCAATTTGTTACGACATGCGATTTCCTGAGCTCAGTACGTCATTGAGCATAATGGGAGCTGAAATACTCACCTTTCCTTCAGCCTTCACACAGGCGACGGGTGCAGCTCATTGGCATGTATTACTCAGGTATACTAACTTATATGGATAGGAATGTAAATATACTTGTATTATTATATAATCAAATGATTTAATAAAATTTATTATCAAAATATCTTTATTCATTACTTACTTGCTTATTACAGTTAATTAAAAAATATATAGTCATAGGCTTTATACGAGTACAAGTAATTGTAATTAGCAACGATATATCGAAATGTATCAAATTATGGCCAACATATTTTTGCATGTTGGCCAATGGCTTGTGTGAATAGATTGTAGTAATTGTTCTTGACAATCAATAAAAATGGACATCAATGTAACAATAAAAAACTCTGTCTAAATTGTGCGTCATTACATTTACTAATAGAATTATTTTTACTAAAATGCATTTCTATCATTCTATTTACAATTTATAAAGTTTCTCTCGTGTTGATGCCATATTTTTGTCATGATTGAGAGTAAATATTTTCGTACACCAAACAGAAATATTAATTTTAATTTGTATTGTTTCTATGTATACTTAATATGTATTTCTAAACGTAATAGATCGAGAGCCATAGAGAATCAGTGCTACGTCATTGCAGCGGCTCAAACGGGCGAGCATAATGCTAAGCGGCGCTCGTACGGGCACGGGATATGTATAGACCCGTGGGGAGAGGTGTTGGTCGATTGCGGAGAGACCTCACCAACTTATAAAATTGCTGAGATATCGCCCCGCAAGTTATCGGACGTTCGAAGGAACATGCCTGTGTTTCAGCATAGAAGGTATTTGTTTAATACTAAAATGAAGTATTAAATACTAATAATAATAAAATTAAATACTGTAACGGGGGAATACGTTATTTATTATGAAATTGTATGTATTACAATAAAACTTAACAAGAAACAGTATTATAATGATGTCACTGGATCACTCATCGCCTTACTACTATAGTCTGTTAGTCGCGAACTTTCTGGAAACGCTAGAGGCACTCTCCTATTGGTTACCGCGCGACGCGCATGCGCTGTACATTTAGATGAGTCTCACGGCGTAGGAACTTACTATACATAGGTATCTCGTTGTTACAATACTAAAGTAAGACATAATTGTGAAACCAGTAAAATGTTTCAAATATTGTCAACATAGTTTGTTTTAATTTTTATAAATAATTAATTTGTGACTGCCATAAACAGTTGTATACAATTGCCTATTTTATGTAACTGGAAAGCTAATAGAATTTATGAATAAATTTAATATTGGATAATGCAGGTTGCATTATCCAATATTTAATTTATTCATAAAATTTCAGGCGACTAATAAAACTACATATAACTCGCTAACTTATGTAACTTTGTCTGTTACATTTTCCCCGTTTTTACAACATTTTACATCGCAACTCTGCTATACTAATAAGGTCACGCTAAGACTAATAGGGTCTTAGCATGACCATAGGGTCATGCTAGTAGTAGTAGAATGTGTGAATCGTTATTGTTAAGCAGCATGTTATATGTGTAGTCCTATATATATTTTTAAACTGCAACACAGCAACGTCGAGGTTTCGGACGGCTAGAGACAAAATATTTCGTATCAACTGTAATAATTTTCAATAATTAAAAAACTAGCCAGGATTTCTTTAATTAAAAACTCAGATTTTTTAAAACAATCAAGATGAAAAAGCGCTAAAGTTATCGTTGTATCCTTGTTGTCTACAGACGTGACGTCTACTCTTTGTACACTCTAAGCCTCCGCAAAAACCTCTTACCGGCGCACGATGAAACACCGAGGACTACTGAGAAACCAACCGACTGCACCACAGACGAGGAGTGTAATGTGTTTGGCCACGTCCGAGTTCCGGACAGCTGTGTTTTCTTCAAGTCCAAATTGACATATGCATTTGTTAATTTGAGGTAAGTGTCATTACACGTCGGCAACTAAGAGATAGCGTGTGGATTGTGTTCTTTTCTAAGACTTAATTGTCCAGTTCCATTGTCTTCCTTTAAAGAACTTTTAGTTTTTTAATGGATGATAATAGAAAGGTGCAACTGCCTGCGCTAACGGTATTTTTTGGAGTGGCATCAGTAGAGGATGATAAATGAACCTGAGGTCAGGTCAGTTAGCCATCATGACAAATTCACCAGTAATTTGTCACAAAGGTTTTCAGGGGGAAGTTGTGGGGTCAGCCTGACATGGTACATTGCTAGCAATGAGCTGATCAAATCCACATTACTAATAATCCTCTTTCGCCCTGCTAAATACGAGTTATTGCCCTGTGTCGGCATTTTTGTGTAGCAACGATTAAACTTGAATAAGATCAGTGCTTTTTTAAAATAAATTACCTGGGAAAAGACCAAATGTACGATACCATCTATTATGAAAATTAAATTATGTCAGTTAGTTTATTGTTACAGATGCGTGATACCCGGCCACGTGCTGGTGGCCCCCATACGCATGGCAGAGAGGAACAAAGATCTGACCGATGAAGAGGCAGAAGACTTTTATCGGACGGTCAGAATCGTACAGAAGGTAACACAATACGAAATATTGCTTCGATTTTTATAAATACATATATAAAATTGTTCCCTGCTCGGAAACCTGCAGCCTGCTGTTACTGTTCGGAATTTTTAACTGGAAATTCTCAATGCGAATTGCAATCTTAAGTATTTGATATATGTATACGTACATACAGAACTTTAGGATGACGGCCTCGGTGGTCTAGCGGTTTAGCACACCGCTTTAGTTCCGATAGTTGCGAGTTCGAGTCCTCGCACACTACAAACATTTGTATTGATGAGTATGATTGTTTGAATCGGTTTGCGTGTTTTCCATATATGTTTTGTATGTTTTACAAAAAAAAAAAAAATCTGTATGTATTTATATCAGTTGTCTAGTACCCATAACACACAACAACAAAGAACAAAGAACAAAGATAAGGGTTACGTCTATATTTTTTAATTTTGAGTAAATACATTTTATTTTTTTTAGTTAATGGAGAAGGTACACGATACTGACTCATGTACTGTGACCATTCAAGACGGCCCTGATGCTGGACAAACAGTTAAGGTAGTTATAGTAGGCAAAGATTTCGCTTATAGATTTGTCTATATAGTTTCTATGGTTAATACCTCATATAAATTTTATTTTAGCATCTCCACTGCCACATAATGCCGAGAAAGAAAGGAGATTTTATAGAAAACGATCTTATATATTTGGAATTGGCGAAGCATGATCAGTGAGTATATAGCATTCAATGTTTTTTTTAATAAATACTTTTATATGTTGCTGGTACTGTGCGGGTTGAACTATTGGCCAAATTAGAGTGTATATATTATATGCACCCATATTTTCAGCAATATCATAATCTAAAATTTGTAAAAGAGCTATTATTATTATTTTAAAACCGTTGTTATTTCTGTTTTGGATAGTTAAATATATATTTTTACTACTAATAAAATATATGTAAATGGCCACATTTCACTTCCTGTTTTGTTCTACCTGCTATGTCTTAACATAGTTTGTTTATATTTCAGGTTCAAAAAAGGTCATCCAGCGAAACCACCAAGAAGTATAGAAGAAATGAGGGCAGAAGCAGAATTGTTGAGGAGCGAATTGGATAAAATGCTCAAATAAGAGAAAGTACTCAGTAGAAGATATTGTATATATGTATAGTAAGAAGAACATAAACGCTCAGGTTTTAATAACTACTTTATTTAATTAAGCACATAACTGCGATAGCACCTTCTTCAAACTAGAATGATCGGTACAATTTTTATATCAGCAAAATTATTTTTGTTTCTTTTATACGTAGGAATTGTGCTTTCTTATTCATTTTTATTATATTTCATTACAAATACTAAAAAGTCTAACAAAAAATTAATCTTATATATAAAATTCTCGTGTCACAGTTTTCGTTCCCATACTCCTCCGAAACGGCTTGACCGATTCTCATGAAATTTTGTGAGCGTATTGAGTAGGTCTGAGAATCCGCCAACATCTATTTTTCATCCCCCTAAATGTTAGGGGTAGTCCACCCCTAAATTTTTTATTTTTATTTTAAGGCAAAACAACGTTTGCCGGGACAGCTAGTAAATTAGTAGATTTTTTTTATTTAGAAGGACCAAAATATTGAAGGAGTATATGTTTAAACGTTGTGTAGTACATTAATTCAATTTATAATTCAATAAATATTATATAATCCTTTTGCCTATCATGGGTCTAATAACTTTCAACAACATATTTTTGCTTATTGGGTTATTCGACTAGAAGGACCAAAATATTTAAGGAGTATATGTTTAAACGTTGTGTAGATACATAATATGGATAAAATGTGGAAGTTTTTAAGCAATACAGGGATAAACAGGTTGGCTAAATGTAATTGAATTGGGATTAAATCGGAAACGCGTCGAGCGGATGACCTATTCGATGTAATGACCTCTTATGACTTAACGTCTGTTATATTACTTATTTAGGTTTCTATTTTTTTGTTGCATTTTATAACAGGCATCAAAAAAGGAGAAGGTTATTATTTTTATTAGAATTATCTTCATTTTTTAAACATATATAGCAATCGGACATATGTAGGTTCGATCGCTGTATACCTTTTTGACAGCTTACGATTTGATATCGATTCGGTCGGTGGCGTTAAAAAAATATTATTTCTAAACGTTGATATTATTGTGTAGTTCATGTATATAGATCATAATTTCATAATACTCCACAAAAAAGATATTATGCATATGTTAAATGATCATTGCAATGTTTTGGCTGCCATGAAGAGTTTTTATGCGAATTTTATTTTTAAACCAAAGGAGAATTGCTGGAAGAAACTTATATTTGTGAAATATAAATTGTATAATTTTATAAATACAATCATGTACAGTTAAGTCTTAGAGGTATATATAAATATAATATAAGATGTATAATTGTTATTATTTGAATAAAAATGAAACAAATTAAATATCTATCTTTTATTTCTTTATTTATTTCTCACAACTTAATATTATTATATAACAATATTTGGCTATATTATATATACGTTATGGACTAACATATATAGAAAATAGTAAAACATAATCTATTAATATAGACCTTGTGTGTATATACTATGGCAATCTGCGACGGTAACGGTGGTACACAACTTTAAATGTAATTGGAATGGAAATAAGCAGTTGCATGTTTCGATCTGACGGTAAGTGGTAACCATCCTTTAAACACTATACGCCTCTTTAGGTTTATAAATCGCACTTGACGAAAAAATTAATACACGTGATATTGTACTATACTCCCCTCTCCCCTTGTAATATTTCGTGATTTCCGCCGATCGGTGATCCGCCTTTTCGAGCCTCAAATGATTTTTTTTTATTAATAATGGGATTGCGCTTGGTCTTACCTCATCTGATGGTAAATGATGGCAAGACCTAGGATGTAGCGCCCTTACCCAGATTAATGGATTACCCCAAAGTCTATTTCATTGTATTCATGGTATAAGTTAGAAATCATCCAGTTTTATATTAATTCTGTTAGTGTATACGTCTATCATATTATTTTTTCTAGTTGAAAATAAAATCAAATCGTGACATGTTTTATTTATTTCGCCGAGTGTGAAGTATTTCTTTATTAGATTCAATATCGCAGTTTTTATGTTACTTTCCGTAGTCATGAAATGTTTACAGCTAAGGCATTGTTTATGTCAGGGTACAGGTGATTTCATTACCGAAAAATCGAACCTTAACACAGTACCTTTTACACCGTGGATCTAAACATACTTAAACATGAAATATATAAATATTACACATACACATTTACTATATTTAGTGGTAGACGTATTTGACGTGAATTCAGCCTCGGTGGTCTAGTGGTTTAGCACACCGCTTTACTATCCGATGGTCGTGGGTTTGATTCCTCGCACGGTACAAACATTTGTATTCATAAGTATGATTGTTTGTATCGGTCTGTGTGTTTTCTATGTATAATATGTATTTATTTACAAAAAAAATGTATCCATGTATTTATATCAGTTGTCTAGTACCATAACACAAGCTCTGCTTAGCTTGGGACTAGATGGCGCTGTATGAAATGTCCTGAGATATAAAAAAAATTACATATTTCAAAGGAATGCTATGGAATTTATCTTATTTTTAACAAATTTTATTACGTGTATACAATACCTACATTTATTAAGGGTTATATTTGGAGTTTTGAATCTACAATTCAATAATACAGAGAAGGAAGGAATATTTTAATAAAACCACAGATAACATAACATTATAAAACTACAAACGGAACACACAGTGCAGTTGAAAAATTAAGCAGAGGTTGTATCTATTATGAGTAACTACTAGACAATTTAGGTATATATAAAAGTTTTCTGTGAGTACATACTTACCTAATATAAATAGAAACAATACGAACGAACGAACAGACATACTCATTTATACAATATTATTAAAGTAGGTAGATTCAATATGTTATTTTTAGTACCTACCCTCTGTTCTTTGACATTACAAGCAAAAGCAAAAGTCAAATGTACAACAAACATGGCACGCTAGAGAAGAAGAATGACCATCGGAACAAATACAAGGTAAAGCAATAACACTCAGTTTATACATATAGTATTTCTAACTAATAATAATAACAAATCATCATCATCATCATCATCGCAGCCCGGAAGACGTCCACTGCTGGTCATAGGCCTCCCCCAAAGATCTCCACGACGATGGGTCCTGCGTTGTATATAACAAATACTAATACTATAATTTGCATTGTCCGAAGATTGAGCTCGCGACTAACGGAAGTTGAGGCAGTGAGCTAAACTGCAATACAACAAAGTCCTCGAGGATATCAAACACTTGTAAAGTATGCCGTTTTAGCTATGCCAGTACAAAACGCATTTATACTGGTTATACCTATATTTTTATGATTATAGATTTGGCATTACTAAATATAGCTACTCTATTTTGTTATCTGTAGGCACTATAGTCTTATCTATTATTATATCTGCAGCGCTGTTTGACTCATCGTTTTATTAAAAAGTTTATTCTGCCAGCCTTGTGGGTCAGCCATCGCATTATCCAGCAGCGATTAGTTAATTCGAACAGCGAACAGTTAATTTAGGCTTTTTTCTTTTTGATCTCATTCGAAAGGTGATAGCGAGACGATCAATACAATAAAACTTTTTACAAGAATACGGCTTTTAAAAGTATCATTTGAATTCGAATAGTAAATAAAGCGTCTAATAATTAGTAAATGGGACGGGATTGTAAGTAATGGTGAATAGTGGCTTTATTGCTAATACTACGCCAGTTATCCAAGCGGTCCCCATTGGAAATCATCGTAATCAATTCCTTTTCAACGACATCAGTTCCTGGTAATTCGTGACAATGAGCGGCCTGAACTGACTTCATGTTCGCTTTATCATTCCCCACTGGTGCCCCGCCAGTGTATATCAATAGCGTAGATGGGTGCAACATTCCATGTTACGATCCGCGATTAATTAGGAGACTACCATACTAGAGCTCTATTTTATAAGTAGTAGAGACCGGGTTCCCACGGATACATTACAAATCTTTGAATTCCTCGGCTTGTTGCATGCTATAACACGCATGTATTAAATATATAAACCTTCCTCTTGAATCTCTCTATCTATTGCTGAAACTGCATTAAAATCCGTTGGGTAATTTAAAAGATATAAGCGAATAGGCAGCAACAGCGTCTTTGTTTTATACTATGTAAAGAAGTATATAGGTTATAATTAAATTAACCATTATAAATGTAGATACATATAGATACGTGTACCAACTCACGCACCTACATACAATTCGGTAAATGAGGTGAAAGGAACAAATTTCGTTATAGCAATTGAATTTGCAGCGAAAAGGTCGCGTCTATCACATTACATGAGATACTAGGTGAGAACTGCGGCGATCGATATTTACGTAATGTGGGTACTTTACAAATTTGATTTAGGACACATCCGCAACATTCCAATTCGAGTATAAAATTTATAGTACACATTTCGTCATAAATTACCTACTAAGATCTTTTTTTATTTTGGAAAATGGACGTTTTAAAGTATCTATAGCTACCTACTAGGTTCCCAAAATGTAACTTAGTACTAGTATTAGGAATGCGTATACTAGCTTAGAGTTTAGGATTATTTAGATCTATAAATAATTGGGTAAAATTACCTCATAATGTCATATATGTGCTAGTATATAGTGCTAGCATAGATATATAGTGCTAGGAGAGCACGAGTCTCCTATCGATCTATCTTATTAATGTAATGAAATTACCTATTCAATAGCAAAATACTTAAGGTACATTTTGTACTAAATCGTTCTTCTTGGGCGTGTCAGCTATTTCAGTCGCCAAGAAGATTGCTTTGAAAGATGTGTTTCAGAAGAGGTAAGTAAAGCAGTAACATTACATTGAGGCATGACATCTTAGTCTTTCGTAATGGCAACGCTTTTTTTCGGACTACTCTAAAATCTTGGCTGCAGACAACTGGCCTTTATAGCTTCACCAGACGATAGAGTGCGAGTATCCAAACTCGCGGAATGTTTTAAGGAGCGGCTGAAGGCCAACTCATGCTTGACGGATACGACTTTAGATACGACTGAGGGTACCGCTAGGAGTTCGAGCCTCGGCTCAGACCGTCGTAATTTCGATCCCCATTTGAATTGGATGGGGGATCGATCTGAGGGGGTGGCAACGCATGAGCGACAGACATGAGTCACAGTGGCTGATGACGTAAAATTCATTATGCTGTTCATGTATATAGGTGAGTGTGACCACTTCCCTTCCTTCTTTCCTTCCTGAGCCTTCAGCTTATTTGTCAATCCATTTAGATACTATATATAAAAAACTTGTTGTCTGCTGTCTGTTGTACAGTGTACCACTGTAACTAAGCAATTATACAATCAAAAGGAGTTAATATTGTATTCATTATAGTCTATTTCTGTGCCAAGTTTCATTTACCCTTTATTATTGGTTATTATATTAATATCTAATAATTAAGTTATGGAATCAGTTTCAAACCAGAAATTTATTTAAGCAAAATCTTTGTTTCAAATTACGGTACAAGTAGGTAA